TATATTGGTAGTTTACTCATTTATGCCTTACGCGCTACCAGAGACATAGATTATCTTTGTCTCTGGCGCTACGGGATATAAATAGAATTTGGTATATTCTACAGAGACCTGTCACTGTACTAACTACATGTACCTGCAATAACTGCCTATAAATCAGTTCAATCACGGCTGAAATTTCAATTTCTTGGTAACATCTGTGGGTCTGTGAATTTCTTATGTATTTAGGAAGAATTTTATTCAGTCAGCTTATTAATGATGAAGGTTGGTGGTTCTTGTATTTGAAAAAGAGAAATGTGCATTATGATCGACCTTCCTCCACCATTAAAACTAGACAGTACTAGCCGCTCTATGACATTTACAGTAAAAATTGAAATATTTGAAGAACTATACTGGTGCAGAAATCGAAAGTGTAACACGGATTAAGGTGGTATTCTTCTAATATCCGAGGTTGGGTGTTCCTGTTAAATGTGTCGCTCGAAGTTCTTATTACTGTGACAGAGTTCTTCTAACTTGTCGGATGTAAATTTCAACAAAAGAACGAAACAACAAAGTGATCGTTTTAGAGGAGATAAATGTTAAAGTATAATTTTAAAGTGTGATAGTTTATTACAATTTATATTTTTTGATTGTGTTGGAAGTTGTAAGGTTATTGAGACACTCTCGAACGGACTTGAAATGAGTGTAAAGTTTGTTGCTCCATGTAAATTTCCTTATTCATTTACATTATCATTAAACTACTTTTATGTTTGATGTTCACCTTTGAATGACCTTGTACAATATACCGAAATTCTGAGATAGAATTATGTACTTACCTTTTAGTTTTACTCTTGTGTACAATTTTAAACTAGATTTTTTTAAAAACAGTGTTTGGGTGATATTTCACTTATTATAGCATAAAATCGGCTATTTTCCCCTATTTTGCCCATGTTATAACGGGGCCAAAACCATGCGTTAACATAGTCACGCGCTCTTGTTATACCTATGCGCAATACATACAGGGCCCAGTAAACAAACAAAAAATGACGATTTGGCCTGTTTGCCAGAGTCATGCGCTCTTGTTATATTGGAATTATTAATTCGAGGGCCTCAGTCGCATAACGGCGAGCAGCATTCAAGTAATTATGCCGGCAATACGGCGTATAGACATCGCCGCTTATCTTGGTTGTCGCCCTTTCTTAGAAACGGACAGTTGTCAATGTAAACAAATAGAATCTGTCATTCAGTTTAATCCCCCGATTAACTTACAAAAATGGAAAGCACAAAATGAATATAAGAAAACGTTGCTTTATTGACGTTTATATTGATAAATGTCCTGTATGTTTCTTTGAGAGAATAATGTTTTATGCCTGATTTTTTTTAAACTTGCGTGCTTAAAAAAAAACGATTCTGATTTTGAATCTGATGTCACTGATCTTTTTCCTACCGCCAATCTGTAATCATTCTAGGAATTTCTGAGGCGTCTGTTTTGTCTTGGGGAAAGTAATGTTATGTTTTTCTTAACTTAATATATCCCCAAAGTTAAACTTTGTTAAATCAATTAAAATTCGAAATTTCGTTCGGTTCTCAAGTTGTTGGCCCCGGAAAAAATAAAACGCATACGTAAAACATGTAGAGTTGGATAAATACCGTTCAAGCACAAGGATTTTATGTTTGTGTTTTGTATATAATATACATCATGAATCTGTTTTAAAAATTTTATGCTATAATAGCGTCAACGCACGTTTATTTCGTGTTATAAAGTCTGCAGAGTCCCTCGGAACTGTTGGAGCCCTCGCCCTACCGGGCTCGGGCACCAACCGTTCCTCGGGACTCTGCAGACGTTATAACACGGAAAAACGTGCGTTAACCCTATAAAATATACTGACTTTGAAGCAGCTAGGTAGAGATCATTTGACTATATTTAAGATTCATAGCATGTTCAGCAATTTACACCTTGTTCTCCGCTGAGTTTTGTCACCTGTTTCTTTAATAGTCATTTGGTTTAAACTCAATGTTAGTCTAGCTACCCCAGTATGTAGAAAAAATGTATATTATAAGTGAGACTAACTGTCAGTAGTTATTGACAAATCATCAATATATAATGTTGAAACCAAGTGCCTCGTCTAACATTATTCAGGCGTTTACGTAGCACACAGTATGTGGTATTTCTTTAAAAAGTTAAACTACACCAGCTAGGTCTCGGTAATTTAATATAAAGCCATTTAACATAAATATGAAGAGTACTGGCTGAGCTTATATGACACATGATGAATTGTAACACTCAATCTTTATCTCATGTAAACAATACCATAATTATATATGTCCTATACGTATATATTTACCCCCAGAGACCTGGTGAATTTCAGTAAGGGCTTATCAGCTAGTAAATCACTATTAACTGTATCACTGGGATGAGAGTCTTGCCACGACTAATTGGCCCTCTATATTCTTATCTAATGGCCCTGACGTTGAAGGATCAAGTTTCTGTAGAACTTTTGTTGAGGCCTTTATATCAGAGTTTTTTCTCCATTCTTTTGCGGATGGGTCTGCGGTCAACTTGAATTGTGTAATAACTGTAAATATAGTCTATATCACAATATTAATTTTAGCTATTAAATGAATTATATGTTGGGATATACCTTTATGTCAGTGATATAAATAAAGTTCAATAGTTCAGTTACTGTTACTCATGTTTATAAATAGTCATTAATCATTTGTCAATAACAGTCATTTGTGAAAAAAGACACTTCTGGCTTTGTGAATGGAGATCTATTTCGTGGAAAATACTATATAGTGACAGATGTAATGTTTTACTGCAAAAAGCAAGACTCGTAAAGAAATAACCAAGTAAGTGATATATTTTTAAATTATGTTAACTTAAAGTATATGGAGAGCTGTCGTACTCTTGTTGTGCAGCCGAAAAATGATAAAATTCATTTAAAAAAAGAAAAAGAATAAATATGCATGATGATTTTCTTTTAAACACAAATATTTATATATATAATCATTTTCTAAAAGGTCATATTTTCAAAACAAAATATGTGAAATTTCAAAAATACGTTACAAATAGTATATGTTTCAATAACAGATGTCAAATTAAAAATTATTTAACTGAAAGATTAAAATGCGGCTTTTCCTTTAATGTCCAATCAACTGTGCTAAAAGTTTTATAATATATAGGTGATAAGGTCAATTAAGCTGTCTGTTCTTATCATGTTGTTAAACCTTCTGACTGATAAAATATCCAGGTGATGATTGTTGTTATAAATTCTATGTTGCTATGTTACATTATTTTGTATTGAAACCTGATTGGTCATTTTGTTATTTAAGACACAAAAATGTTAAAATTCTATTGGTCAGTTAAAACGAAATCAATTTTAGAATTATTGTAAAGATACATGTAGAAAATTTAGAGACAGTTAGATTTTGGATTTCCAAGTGATAACATTGTATTGTGGCTTTCCACTAGAAATAATTGTTACTGTTTTAATATTAATTTGTTAACATCAGGATAACCTGTGTATATGTTATATATTATCTGTGGTATTCCACTAAGAAAGAAACATTAAAATATAAAACGGAACATTGTGTTGTGATTCAATCCACCTACAGTAGAACTATAATTCAGCGCATAACACTCTTCCCGTCCGCGTCCATATTTTAGATTAAAGTGTTTTTTATTGTGTTTTTTTTTTATTGCTTACTATTTAATATCTGTATCCTCTTTATTTCTTAAAGTATCAACTTCAAACTTCAAATATCTATTCCTTATCATCATCATCCACATCTGATGTAATAAGGTTCATAACTCTAGAAGCAATATTTTGAGAGAAATCTCCACTTGCACATATAATTTTCCTGAAAATGCTATTTTTTACACTAATTTCTTTATTTATCATTAAGGGCTTGACATAAAACTTTAAACATTATTATTATATGTTCCTTATAAACAACTACATCATACCTGAGACTGTTTTAACTCTAGCACCAATATTTCTAGAATTACATGTATCTCCCCATGAACTTTTTTCCTCAAAAATACATTGCAACTTCTTAAGGTATTGATTTTTAATTTAACTTAATAAAAATTTGTTTATGTTATCATAACCCTCACCATGTCTGACAAGATTCATAACTCTAGCATAACTATTTCTAGAATTATTTCCCCTTTGAACAAAAAAAAATCTTTTTTTTTTTGTTTGTCTGTTTTGTTTTTGTTTGTTTGTTTGTTTTTTTTTGTTGCTGTTACTATTCTCTATTTTCAAAGTATTAACTTCATACTTTAAATTTAAGTTTCATATCAACTTCCAGACAAGGTACATATTATTACTCTTGCATCATTTTTCTTTCCTTAATAAAACTCGGAATTTCGCTAATTTGATTCGGACTTCAAAAATGTGTTTGTGAAATATAAAATATAAATTCGTAGATATCTTAATGCGTGTATCGAAATGGACTAAAAATGTAACTTTCTGTCCAAGCATAAACCTTCACGAACATGTTAACCTACATGTTGTACAAAAGGTCAGTTTACTGGGATAAAAATCACTTTTATCGGCTAAACCATTATTTCAAGTAAGGTTAGATCTATACAGAGATGCAAATTTGACCTCAGAGCATTAATTACCGGATAAGTTGTTACATCTGGAATTATTCTCTATCTATTTATTTGTTATAAGGTCATTCAGACAAGCTACATACATGTACTGTACATATTGTGAAGTTATTTTCTGGGGTACACAATCGCGGAAGAGTTAGTAGATTATGATATCAAAGTTTGGTAAGTTCATCAGTTACAGGGAAATTTGAATTTTGCAGCCCGCAAAAACCCTGATTCACTGCATGTATGTAACAAACTAATTTTGTGTTAAGTATTAAAATAAAAGTGGTGTAAAAATTTCTTTATGCAAATAAAAAAAAAACTCATGCTTTTCGTTGGCTTTCTTATGATATAACTCAGTATTAATTATGCTTTTCAATGAATAAGACTGTACTGTACTGTATAGTAGTATATACTGTAATGTTGTACGAAAAAGTAAAAGAAAAGAAAAAATATCATCCCCGGCGGGATTCGAACCCGCGGCCTCTGGATTAGAAGTCCAGCGCGCTATCCACTGCGCTACGGGGACCCGATGCATAATGTGGTCCGTAATATTTTATTCAAATATAAACAAAAATATAATGCCCTTTAACCTTTACGCCTTGCTGCTCATGTAAACAGAAAATGGCTACGCCAGGACAGTGGATTCCTCCTTTGCCTGCCGGTTATGAGGCAAGATGGGACCCAAATCAACGAGCCTAGTAAGTCTTTTCAAACAAGATTTTCTTTCCATATTAATTGATCTATTTGTAATATATTGAATTCGATCAAGTATAATTTACAGTGGTAAACAAAGTGGGTGGGGTAAGAATAATATGCAAAATTTTATATTTCGAAATTCACATGCAAATTGCAATATCTTTTTATTGTTTTATGCTTAATAGATCTATCTATCTATCTATCTCTAGATACTGCCAACCCCTCTTACGAGTGTTACAGGCAGGTTCTATATATCATAAGAAAGATCTAACTGGAAAATTAATATTTCATTTTTGTTTTCCTTATAAGAAAGAAAACGTGTAGATCTCTATTCTGAAATATCATGACAAAATTGAATAAAAAAGCTGAGATTGTGATAATTTGACAAGTTCTTCAATTTCAATGATTTAAAAAGCATCATCAGATGAAAATTTGTCAAATTCGTTAAGCCAGTTTTAAACTCTGTTCGCCCACCTCTGGGATATACTTTATGACGGAGGACAATACTTGGAATAAAATTCAGGGAACAATCAAGGAAGTCACAGGCTAGCCGTACGGGCACGTACGGCTAGCCAAAAGTATTAGCCGTACGTGAGTCACGTATGACTAGCCAAAAGTTCTAGCTGTACGTGAGTCACATACGACTAGCCAGGACTCACTGTAAATGACTCCTGTACGGCTAGGACTTTTGGCTAGCCTTACGGGCCCGTACGGCTAGTCACTTCCAACAATCAAATCACAAGTCAAAGTATTTGTTATGTTCATTTTCTATCTATCTATCTTCCATTAATGTCAAACCCCACACGGGGACGAAGACATGACTATAGACTAGTCACTTAAAAGGCAGAGATCATGAGATACAAGGGAATCTGGGAACCAGTCTCTAGCTCCTATTGAATAGACCCCTTCAAATGGTCTTTAACATGCACAGTGTATGGCAATGATACATGCGAGGATTTCCTAGATTTCTTACCAGTATACCTCTAGTTAGGTGGGCAACACTGAAAGTGTCTCTGAAAAATCCCAAGGGTTTTACCCAGGATCGAACCCAAGACCTCAGGAGTGACAGCCAGTGGTCCTCTAACCAACTGAGCTCCTGTTCCATGCACTCTTTGTCAATCAGAAAATGTGGGTTTTAAATGGTAAATACATACATGTACGGTTCCCGTATTGTTGTAAAGCAGGAGCCTGGCCGTGATACTAGTAATATTCAGTCCATCAAAGTTCTAGTAACAGCTTCTCCAAGAAATCCTGTGGTTGAAACTTGATCTGCTTCTATTCCGAGGTCACAGATTTCCCCTGAAAAGACAATTATAATTCAAGCCTCTCCCCCACACTAAAAAGCAAACCATTAGGCATTGCACTTTGGTTGATACAAAAGACAAGGTTTTGTTTTCAGTATCCCTATAGTTCCTCTCAAATGTAGACCTTAGATAAAATTTGCCTTTCACTTTTTTTTCAAAAACATTTCTGAAGATATATCCTGGTTGTACTATCTACCGGGAGTGTACACGGGTAAGCCTTATTAAGCCCACCATCATATAATACAGAAAGAATCTAGGATAAAATAGTTATTTTCTGTAGAAGGTACCATTTTTTGATGAAAATAACAATCATCATCCAAAAGAAATTTTAACTATACATCAAAAAGATAGTTCTGTTAATAACCTCATATGAGTGGCAGCCATTTTGTTTTTAAGTACTTAATACCAGGAATGACTTTAAAGCAATCAATAAAAAGTTAAAAACATATGTAAATGGTCCATTACTGTTAATGATACTAAAGTTCTATTCAATATTTATCAGATATCACACAGTAAAAGGGTAACAATTAGATAAGCATTTGCATACACATTCAAAATATCATATTGGGTCCAAATCGTTACTAGCAATATTACTAGTTTTTATACGTAAAACACATTTACCTGAATAGGGTTATTAAAACTTTGAATTTTCTTCAAAAAATGCTATATTTTGTATGAAATAATGTGAAAAACACTTGCATACAAAAGAAATTCTTTATGTAAGTTTTGTTTGTAATATCTGGACATTTCCGGTACAAAGTACCTCCCGGTATAAAGTACCTTGAGGATATATATAAAAATAAACTCCTTCCTTCCTATGTACTGTTTTCTTTTGTGAACAGAATTAGAAAAATTTATAATTTTCTTTACGGTATGTACATGTTTAAAGATAATTTACATAATATTAAGTAGATCCATTAAGTCTACAGGGTTTTTCTTCATTGGTAGGTGAAGAGGTCCTTCCCCTTTCTTTGATTGGTGTAAAAATAGAACAGAAAATTGAATTTTAATGGATACAATCTAAATATGATATTTAAGAATTTTCTTTGGCAGAAGGCAATTGTAAACGATTATCTGGTATAGTAGAGAAAAATACCCTGGTGTACCACACTACAAAATGTATTTAAAATTGTTGTCAATGTTTCATTATTTTTTGTTTCTAGTTTCTTTATCAATCATTTCGACAAATCAACAAGTTGGGTAGATCCGAGATTTGGACCTGCAGCACAGAAGCCTCAACAGCAGCAGCATCATGCGACTGCTGCCCAGGTATAATCATTTGAGCCGCGTCACGACAAAACCAACATAATGGGTTTGCGACCAGCATGGATCAAGACCAGCCTGCACATCCGCGCAGTCTGATCAGGATCCATGCTGTTCGCTATCAGTTTCTCTACATGTGATACGGTTTGTAAGCGAACAGTATGGATCCTGATCAGACTGTCTGGATCCATGCTGGTTGCAAACCCATTATTTTGGTTTTGTCGTCATTTCTTATTCATCTAATCACCTTATAGGGGAATTGGTGATGTTGGGGAGGGGGGCATGCTCAGGGATGGGAATTTACGTCATTTTGAAAAAAAGGGAACATTGTCTATCAGCAATACTGTACAATAGTCAATACTAAATACTTCTATTTTCAAAAAGGCAATTGTAGCAATAAACAAGTTGGATAATGGTACATTGTATGGTGCCAGGCTTTATTTTTTAGCTCACCTGTCACAAAGTGACAGGGTGAGCTTTTGTGATCGCTTTTCGTCCGGCGTCCGTCCGTCCGTCCGTCGTCCGTCCGTAAACTTTTGCTTTAAATGACATCTCCTCATAAACCACTGAGCCAATTTCATCCAAACTTCACAGGAATGTTCCTTTGGTGGTCACCTTTAAAAATTGTTCAAAGAATTTAATTCCATGCAGAACTCTGGTTGCCATGGCAACCGAAAGAAAAATCTTTAAATATCTTCTTTTAAACAACCCTAAGAGCTAGAGCTTAGATATTTGGCATGAAACATCTTCTAATGAGTGTCTACCAAGTTTGTTCAAATAAAAGCCCTGGTCAAAATTGGCCCCGCCCCGGGGGGTCATGATTTTCCCTATATACATATTAGTAAAAACTTAAAAAATCTTCTTTTAAAGAAACTGTAAGAGCTAGAGCTAAGATATTTGGCATGGAACATCTTCTAGTGAGTGTCTACCAAGTTTGTTCAAATAAAAGCCCTGGGGTCAAAATTGGCCCCGCCCCGGGGGATCATTGATTTTCCCTATATGCATATAGTAAAAACTTAAAAAATCTTCTTTTAAAGAACTGTAAGAGCTAGAGCTTAGATATTTGGCATGAAACATCTTCTAGTGAATGTCTACCAAGTTTGTTCAAATAAAAGCCCTGGGGTCAAAATTGGCCCCGCCCCAGGGGGTCATTGATTTTCCCTATGTGCATATAGTAAAAACTTAAAAAATCTTCTGTTAAAGAACCCAAAGAGCTAGAGCTAAGATATTTGGCATGAAACATCTTCTAGTGAATGTCTACCAAGTTTGTTCAAATCAAAGCCCTGGGGTCAAAATTGGCCCCGCCCTGGGGGGTCATTGATTTTCCCTATATGCATATAGTAAAAACTTAAAAAATCTTCTTTTAAAGAACCGTAAGAGCTAGAGCTTAGATATTTGGCATAAAACATCTTCTAGTGAATGTCTACCAAGTTTGTTCAAATAAAAGCCCTGGGGTCCAAATTGGCCCCGCCCCAGGGGGTCATTGATTTTCCCTATATGCATATAGTAAAAACTTAAAAAATCTTCTTTTAAAGAACCCAAAGAGCTAGAGCTAAGATATTTGGCATGAAATATCTTCTAGTGAATGTCTACCAAGTTTGTTCAAATAAAAGCCCTGGGGTCAAAATTGGCCCGGCCCCAGGGGGGGGGGTCATTGATTTTCCCTATATGCATATAGTAAAAACTTAAAAAATCTTCTTTTAAAGAACCGTAAGAGCTAGAGCTTAGATATTTGGCATGAGACATGTTCTAATGGGTGTCTACCAAGTATGTTCAAATAAAAGCCCTGGGGTCAAAACTGGCCCTGCCCCGGGGGTCATTGATTTTCCTTATATACATAGCAAAAACTTGAAAATCTTCTTTGAAAAAACCCAAATAACTAGAGTTTAGATATTAAGCATGAAACATCTTTAAGTAGATATCTACAAAGTTTGTTCAAATAAAAGCCCAGGGCTCAAAACTGGCCCTGCCCGAGGGGTGTCATTGTTTTTAACTATATGTGTATAGTAAAAACTTAAAAATCTTCTTTTAAAAAACCCAATGAGCTAGAACTTAGATGTTTTGCATGAAACATCTTCTTATGGGTATCTACCAAGTCTGTTCAAATAAAAGCCCTTGGGTAAAAATTGGGCCGAGGGGGGGGGGGCTATATACAGGTGAGCGACCTCAGGGCCATCATGGCCCTCTTGTTTTTTTTAATATTTTGGCTGATATGGAGGCATGCAGCTTTAGATTTTCAGGCTAGCATGAGTCATATTGTCTTTTTCGTCAGCTGTTTACCATCTTTTTGTTGTCAGAATCTTTACCCTTATCATGCTGAATTTGTATATTATTTTATGTATTGGATTAAAAATGCCATGCTCTGAATGTATAACAGTCAGATCAGTTTAATTTTGAAGATTTCAATGAATCTAAATACAAAAATTGAGCTACATTGTATTGTGTAGACTGTAGAGCCTGGTCAGACTGCAGGGATACTGAGTATACAGGCTGGCCTGGCATAAATTTACTGCTGGCAAAGGCTAAACACTTTCGGTGCCTCCAGTTTATGGGTTAATTCTGGCAATTTTCAGTTGTTCAAATGCTCACTTAGACCAATGCAGTTGATTGCATTTTCGAATCTGTAGTTAACTGTTAATTTACTTTTTTCTTTTGTGAATTTTGTGTTTTATTATTCATTTATGTCTGTTGTTGATTGTGATTACAATAATGTTTGCTGGGTATGTCTTCAATGTAATAGCTTTTTAATTACAAATTTATTTATAACATTAATTTATCAGTCTTGATCAAAGGCAAGAAAGTAATATACAGTTATTTATTATAATGTCCATGATAGGTTATACGGAGGTGTTACCACACTTAGAACTCATGAGGTTGGTTGGGTTTCACTGTTTAGTGACTAGGGTATCATGAGTTGGGGTGGGGTTTACTGTTAGTGACTAGCGTATCATGAGGGGGGGGGGTTGGGGTTTACTGTTAAGCTGTTAGCTACTCAGGTATCATGAGGGGGGGTTGGGGTTTACTGTTAAGCTGTTAGCTACTCGGGTATCATGAGGGGGGGGGGTGGTTGGGGTTTACTGTTAAGCTGTTAGCTACTCAGGTATCATGAGGCGGGATTGGGGTTATGTTACCTGTCAAGTGTCAAAAATCTTTATGAAAACCGATATTGCACAAACTTGAGAAAAATCTAAATGTATTTGTATTATCTTTATATTTTCCTTATATATACATGCTTGAGACTTTACTTTATATTCAATAATTTTTGCTTTGCACTATGGCAGCCAAAAAGGTTTCACACAGTGTTTGGATAGTGTATTTGGGTAAATTTTAAAATATAAAAGAAACATCAAAATCTCACAGACACCCTTATAAAATTATATAAAGATATATAAGCATATCTTGGTCACAGGAATGGGGTCTTTAACCCACACTTTGACCCTAAAACACTATCAAAACACTGTGACGTAACCCACTTTGGTAGCAGTAACTGTTATTTTCAATGAAGAATTGAACACTCACATCTACTAGTAAATTTAAACTCCTTTTAATTAATATTATCTTTCCATTATAATTTTCCAAAGCATTGATCATTCACAGTCATTTAGTCTATCCATTATAATCTAAATCAGGATACTCTGAATTCAATTTTCATCCATTTACTCTGTGAAGTAAGAATTGAAAGTGATTTAGCCTTTGTCACTCCACCAGTATAGAGCCTGGCCAGCTGTCACATCTGTGCTAATTGTTGGTAGCAAAATTTTTCATATTTTGATACTGATATCCCTTAATTAATCTTTCAATAGTAAAAGCAGGGCAAATCCATTACACATATGAAGCAAGTTAAAGGTTAAAGTTTGTTTGCAAATGAAGCAGGTTAGAAATTCAGAGCCAGGTCATGTTTCTGCATAACTGATTCTAGCCATGTTATAAGTATCTGAAGGCTTTAAACATGCAAAATGTCTGAAATGGACTTGTCCATCTTTCATTCCGGACAAAACCATTTATCATTTATAGGGAAAATTTAAAATAAGAATTTTCTGATCAAATAGTGAACAATATAGACCATTTACAGACAGCATGAATATGCCAGCTGATCTTGTTCTGCACTGGTCACATGGGTAGATATATTTGCCGCCAGCAGACTAAAAATTAGAATATCATTGAACAGTTCTTAAAAATTTCAAGGCTAGGAATTTCTGTTATTCACAAATTCAACAGGGAAAGTGTTAAAAATGTAAAAATGCATAGCAGCTTGTATTTTTACATACAATGTATGTCAATAGTCATAGTGAAAACAAATATAGTTTATTGTTATATAGAGAAACTTTGAAAGTGGATAATTGTTTAGTTTTTATATGTAAGTGTGATTTAATACTTTATATAACATCTGGAAAATCACTATAACTGGCATAGCCCTAAACCTGCTGAATTTCTTAAATGGACTGGTCCAGCTTCCATTTTGGAACTGTTCATTATCAATTTAAGGGATATATCAGTATGAAAATTAAAAAAAATATTAATATGCCAACAGTGTAGTCTGGTTGTACAGGCTGGCCACTTGTGGCAAAGGCTAATTACTTTTGGTTCAAGCAGGGTATGGATAAATGCTTAAAGTGATGAAAGATCCGAAAATTGATTTCATAGAATTCATTTCCACTTCTTAGTTTCTCAATCCTCAAACTGGTGGAGGTCATGGAGGTCAAGATCAAAATGTTAAAATGTCCACCATGATGAAGCAATTTGGGTCAACGACTTCGCGTGATAGCGGAAGCAGCGATGATGATGAGTGGGAAAATCCCGAAGATTTCGATACACTGTTCTCCTCCTCTACTGATGTACGTATCACACAACCTTTGCACTCTTATCCCTAAATTCCCCCTGTCACTTCATTAAGGTGATATGTCTGTCATTATCAACAGTTAGCCAAATATGGAAGAGCATTGGATAAGTAATCCAGGTGTCGTTGGTTTGAAATTCAAAGTACGACAAACTTGTCATTTAAATTAAGCAGGTGAATAGTAAAGAAGTTCTTTTTTAACACCTTTCATCTAATATAGGATTCTTATGGAAAAAAAAAAAGCCTTTTTATATATTGTGGTCTTTGACTTCTTGTCTGCAATGAAAGGACTTTCACATGTTCATATTTGCTTGCTTTTACTTGTCTCTTTTGCATGATTAAATGCTAGGTGTTACTGCTTTGTTTTAGTTTATCGAAATGTGAATGTGTGTAAATTTTGATAGATCTCATTTTTGGCCGGGTTGCACGGGTGCAAATCCGGGTTATAGTATGGTGAATGTCGGGCGGCGGGCGGGCGGGGAAAATATTTTCGTAACAGTTTTCTCAGCAACTACTTATCACAGCCTCTTGATATTTGGCATACAGCATAGACACATGGTCCCATACCGTGGGATTTAATTTCAGGTCTGTCGCTCATCCACTTCCTGTTTATCCACTTAGTTAAATTAGTTAGATTTTTCGACATTAATGGTCAATGGTAGGAAATTTTCGTAACAGTTTTCTCAGCAACTACTTATCACAGCCTCTTGATATTTGGCATGCAGCATTGACACATGGTCTCATACCGTGGGATTTGATTTCAGGTCTGTCGCTCATCCACTGCCTGTTTATCCACTTAGTTAAATTAGTTAGATTTTTCGAAATTAATGATCAATGGTAGGAAATTTTCGTAACAGTTTTCTCAGCAACTACTTATCACAACCTCTTGATATTTGGCATACAGCATTGACACATGGTCTCATACCGTGGGATTTAATTTCAGGTCTGTCGCTGATCCACTTCCTGTTTATCCACTTAGTTAAATTAGTTAGATTTTTCGACATTAATGGTCAATGTTAGGAAATTTTCGTAACAGTTTTCTCAGCAACTACTTATCACAGCCTCTTGATATTTGGCATACAGCATTGACACATGTCCCCATACCGTGGGATTTGATTTCAGGTCTGTCGCTCATCCACTTCCTGTTTACTGACTTAGTTAAATTTTCGACATTAATGGTCAATGGTAGGAAATTTTTGTAACAGTTTTCTCAGCAACTGCAAATCACAGCCTCTTGATATTTGGCAAACAGCATTGACACATGGTCCCATACCATGGGATTCGATTTCAGGTCTGTCGCTCATCCACTTCCTGTTTATTGACTTAGTTAAATTTTTCGACATTAATGGTCAATGGTAGGAAATTTTCGTAACAGTTTTCTCAGCAACTACTTATCACAGCCTCTTGATATTTGGCATACAGCATTGACACATGGTCCCATACCGTGGGATTTGATTTCAGGTCTGTCGCTCATCCACTTCCTGTTTATCCACTTAGTTAAATTAGTTAAATTTTTCAACATTAATGGTCAATGGTAGGAAATTTTCGTAACAGTTTTCTCAGCAACTACTAATCACAGCCTTTTAATATTTTGCATAAAGCATTGACACATGGTCCCATACAGTGGGATTTGATTTAAGGTTTGTAGCTAATCCACTTCCTATTTACCCACTGAATTAAATTTTCGACATTAATGGGTCAATGGTAAATTCTTTTCGTAACATCACAGCCTCATGATATTTGGTGTACAAAAGCAACCCGGCCTTTTCTGTCTTTGACCCATTTTTATTAGTTTATACAGAATTTATTTTTGTTCAGTTATGAAGAAAGCTATAAGCTTATAGACACACTCTCAAAGCTGTTCCTGGAACCAACCATACTGAGCAGTACTGAGCAATGAGTGTAAAATTTCTTGCTTAAGGAGTCAAAGGCTGCAGGGGTTTGAACACACACACAACTAGAGTTCATTAGATTACTAGTTGTACACGTTTACCTCTTGGCCATGATGCCACTGTCATTTTTATTGTGCAAGGGTTTCATATTGTTGCAATTTTATAAACATTTTATACACATCATTGTATAAACAAAAGAGAGATTATGTTCAGTTAATGTCAAATTAAAATATGAGGTAAATAGGGCTAATATAATTATGTTATATTTAACCCGCTGCAAAAATCATATTACAGAGCTATATTTAAATGGAGAGGAACCTATGACCTCATACATCTGGTTTATTATCCCACAAGTTCACATTTTTTGTGAGATTTTACTGAGACTTATAATGTTTAACCTAAGAAATTTACAAATATTTATTCCACCATTTTAACTAAACATGGTAATCAAAAGAAGCAATAAAACATTAGTTGCAAAAATGTACAAAGCAATGAAGACTAAGTAGATGTAAATTATTCTCAGTCTCAGTCATGGATGAAAATGTAAAACACATTTGGTAACGTAAAAAAATAGATGGCTGAAATTGATCAACTCCTAGGGCCAATGAATCTTGTACAAGGGATTGTGGGTCTGTACGGGTAAAGATTCTATTTCCAGAGCTGCTTAACCCTCTGTTATAAAAGTCTCTGATCTAACTATAGGCCATAAAGTTTCTGAGAAAGGCCAATGTTTGATCAGTGATTGGTACATTTATGATATATATTGGCGATAGGGAAATTAATGTTTCTGAAATCGACAAAGAATTCGACAAAGAATATATTAAGTTGGTTTCTATTTTTTTTTTCAAATTTCAGAAGAAAGTTGACTTGATGAAGCTACATGAGATTAAGCAATCATTCCCTAATGCTCCGGAGGACTTAATCAAATCTTTGCTAGAGAAGTAAGTTGTTTCTTGTACACACCCATAAAATTTACAAAGATTGGAATGATATATTATTGTATACTCTCGTAGGCATTGTGCAGGGGCCTTTCGGCAATTTGTCAGTTAGAACAGTAAAAAGGATTATATGTTTCTTAGCTCAACAAAATAACTGCTATACTGCTGTAATCAGCAGTTATTAGCCTTTGCCACCCATAAAGAGCCTCAATTATAAAATAGACAATCCTGGTCTTTTTAAGATTTGAATGTTTACTGATACATTTTGAACAATATTTATAGAAAATTTTATTGGTCATATGCAATAATGATTTTTTTTTCATAGTAAAGTATAAAATTGAGCAGAGTTATGGCACAATGTTAAGTAATTTTGATTTTGATCTGTTAACTGACAATTTACACTTGAATGGACATGATGTCACTTTAAATTTTCTTCTTCATTTCCAAAGGAACGTAATGGAGTGACGGTTAAAGCTCAGCAAGTCAATTAATAAAATTCAGATAGCTAAGGGTTAAAATGGATGTTTTTGTTCTCTGTAGACATGGAAACAATACTGTGAAGACAACAAATGAGCTGTTTAACAAAGGGTATAAGAGGGAGGCAGTGTCCCACCCACCACCTAGGAAGGTGGACATGTTGGAAAGATTGAAGGCGATGTTTCCTACAGTAGACTCTGAACTTGTCGAAGATATGCTGTCTACGTAAGTTATTATGATATAAGTTTTTAACAAAAATTTGGATGTGTTATATGGTTAAGTATACATTTGTGACCCTGCCTTAGTTAAATAGCAGTCAATGAATTTACTAGCCCCGAATTCCGGTTTTGAATTGATTCTACTATATATTTAACTAAATTTTCACTGGCCCAAACCAATTTTCACTGGCCATGGGCCACCGGGCCAATGCTAAATATGATGACTAAAATAGGGAGAGCATCAGAGGTTTGCTGGTTTGATCTTTTGACAAGGTGAAACTTTTTTTTTTTTAGTGGTAGTTGACCTTTGACATTGAGTCTGAAGGTCAGTTGTCTCTCATTGTGATTCATTTTGCCCTTGTGGCTGAGAGGTTGCTTTAACGGTTGAGGCATCAGTATTTCTGCAACTAAATGGGTTTAATTGATTGGAGTCTATGAATTTCATAGCTCCAGCAAGTGAAGTGGTTTTGACAAGTGGTGTTGCTTTGAGTTTGTACCACCCAAACTAAGCCTGTTTTGGCACCATATGACCTGTGTTGGTGCATATACACTTGTGTTATTTCAGGGGTTAAATAAACAAAATTCTCCGTAACTTATAACAGATTTATTGTTTTATTCCAGCTGTGACAATGATGAGAAAAGGACACGAGAGCAGCTAGAATCAATGGGTTATACAGCAAAGTTTCCAGCCACACATAGGAACCCGTCAGCCCGAGCTGGTAGCCGGACAAGCCCAGCTAAGGCACCGAGCCCTGCTAGGGCACCGAGCCCTGCTAGGAACCGGTCACCTTCACCAGCTAAACCTAAACTGTCAGAGTCAGAGAAACAAAGTTGTAAGTCATCTCTGAGAAACATAGTTTTAAAGGAACTCAACTCAGGTTCAAAACCCAAAATTTCTTACAAAGATCCCCTGAAGCACTTAAACGGAAAGATTTGCAAAGTATATATACACAGAATTTAGCTAAAAATGTTGGTTTTTTTTGCGGATTCTTAAACTGATTGAAATAAAAAGCATTAAATTTTAATAAAAAAGCATTGAAACACTTTTCATTGTGTGTGATATTTCACAAATAAAGATATTATGCTAAGATATTATCCAGACGTACATCAAATAGTACATAAGTTTTGAAAATTTACTTCGGATCTTGTCATGTCAATAAACTACAGTTATTATTTATTAAGTTTTTAAGCATATTGCAAAGGCGTAACATTGCAACATACACTGAAAAAAAGTAAAAAAAAACAACCTGTAATTGCTACTTATTTTGAGGCATGCTGTTTAAATATTACTGTATAAGTTGATATTTTCACTTGTCAAAAAGTTAGCAAATTTAGAATTCCAGATATTAACGGTTATGAAATATAAGAGAAGTTTGAAGGACAGGGTTGGTTGACTTAAAATATAGAGAATAATTTTTTGGCGATTTTCTGGTAGTTTGCAAAAATTCACCCAATATTTCAGTGTTTTGCTAACTTAAACCACTTATACAAGCTTTGAAGGAATCTTTAAGGGTTGAATAAAAACTAAAAGGAAATCAAGATCTAATATTTTCAGCATCCTAATAAAAAAAGATTTTTAAAATTTTTTTTTGATCTGTGGATCTTTTATGTTTTTTCAATTTGATAACAATATGCGTATTTCAGGATTGTAAATAGATTAAATTTTTTTGTAGTGGTCATTCCTAACCCAAAATATGTGGTGTTTGACTCTGGTGAAGATGGGACATAGTATTCCTTTTAGTTTTAACCTGGTTTCGTGTTAGTGGACTGCATAAACTGCTCTGATTAATCTATCTGATTGTATCCGTGTGTCAAAGTATCCAAAGAACTTGAACATCTATGTAGGTTTATTATACCATTATAGATTTACTATATTAATTATTAATATTGTATGACGTATATTTCAGTAATTCGTAAGATGCAGAACCAGTTTAAGGATATGGAGAAGTCCGTGCTGGAAATGGCGTTACAGGTGTGTGACTATGACGAGGAAAGAGCAAAGAACGTGCTTGGAAGAATGGAATCAGGGTAATACAGAAGTTTGGTTTGCAGTAATATTTGTTCCTGGTCCTCACTAGTGCATACTTGATCCTACTCAATTTATATAACATATGTATGTGACGTATTCATGTAACATATTTATGTAACGTATATATGTGTAATGCATTTATATAACATATTTGTGTAACGTATTTATGTTACGTATATATGTGTAATGCATTTATATAACATACTTGTGTAACATATTTATGTAATGTATATATGTGTAACCCATTTATATAACATATTTGTGTAACATATTTATGTAACATATATATGTAACGAGTTTTTTGTAACAAATTTTTGTAACATATTTGTTGTAACATATTTGTGTAATGTATTTGTGTAAAGTATTATGTCCTGCTTTAAATTTGGAATAGTCTTATTTAATGTTAAATACTAGCTACCAACAGTATAGAGCCCGGTTAAACTGTACTGATATACTGTCTGACCTAACTCAATACTGCCGGCAATAAGTTATTGTTTATTTTCATTTCAAACAGATTATAAAAGGTTAAAAACCCTTTAAATACTATTGTTATATTACCATTTTATCAAATGTGTCTATATATAGAACCAGTCCAGTCTCCATATTCCTACAGACTGACTTACAAAATATTATTGCTTTATGCTTTGTTATAGTTCTGTTATTCCTAAGATACCCAAAAAAAACTTAATAAAAAACAGTTCCAAATTCAAAGCAATGTCCAAAAAAATTTCCCAGTTGGAGGCATGTTGTACAGTACCATCTGATAAAGTTAACAAGTTTGATGATAAATATATACATGTAGTAATTATCAAACTCGGATAATTCTTTCAGTGTGGCTACAATCTGTAAATTTTGTAATGAAAATACAGTGTTCTTCAGAATAAAACAATTTAAATGGAATCGTTGGCAGTTACGTAATGTCACCTTATGTTAACTGTTAAGTTCTTGTAAGAAAACTTAAGAAACTGGTTTTAGATGAATATCATGATGGTTATTTTGAGAAAAGTGAAATTTTAATGTTAACATGTTTCTGAAGCATGATTTAATGTTAATTTTATGACAAGATATTTGCATAATATCATTATTATGTGATTATAGGCCTGTAAAGGCCTATAATTGGAAATAAAATTTATTCTATCCTATTCTGTTCTACATTATAGAGGTGATAAGCATCCCCACCATAAACCCAAGTAGAACCGAGTACCAGCACTGGCAGCATAAATCAACACCCGTAATTGTAGAGGCCCCCTTGGCAAGGGCCTGGGAACCAGTTATTTTTGGGTTTATGATCGGCCCAGGGTGTTATTCTTTTTTGTTTGTATTTTTGTTTGATTGTTTGGTACTTCCAGTAAAATGTAACACTTAGACGAAAAAATTTACCTGTGGGATAGTTATGTTGTAGAAAGTGAGGAATGCAGTGTTACAATGTTAAATTGAAAAGCCAGTGTATATTATGTTTATGTCCAGGGTGAGAAAATGGCCGCCTGACCCGACTCGAAACCCTTTGACCCTCAGTATACCATGAATGCGGCCCCTTTACCCTAACTAAACTAACTGGGGCCACAGTGAACACATTTTCTAGATTCCTAGTAAAGTAAACAGTTTTAACTGTTTAAAAAACTTTTCCCCAAATTTTTGGAAGGGCAAACCCCAAAATAAAAGGGTTTCAAGAAAAGTGTGAATTGGGCCCCTGGAGACTGCATCCACCGGAACTCTTTAGGGGGGGCCAGACTCTAGTGTTTGAAAAATTTAAGCTTGATTGGGGGCTTTGAACTAGAAAATCTTTGGAATACATTCTAAAGATTAACCCTTTTTGGGTTAATAATTTTTTTCCCCTAAAAAATAAACAGTTCTATACTGTAACATAATATATTTGTATGTTTACTTTATTTACAATTTAAGATCAAAATATGATTTATCCGATGTATTTGACATGCTTCATACATATGTTATAGTACGAGGTTATTATATATTGTGAAGTGCAAAACTGAATTCATTGGGCCGAGTTGTTGTTAATTGACAAGGCACTTACTGTGTCCAATATAGATGCATCAGTATTGTGCTCAACAATGTATAATAACTTCTTTATTTGACACCACAATTTTTTTTGACACTTTGCCCGAATTGAATTATGGTTTTGATATAGATTTTTTATTTTTTTTTTTTTTGGGGGGGGGGAGGGGGGGGGGGGGGGGGGTCACAAAAATGAAAGTGAGGTAAAATGGAGTATAATAGTGATTTGATATGTATTTTTTTTTTTTTTTGGACTCTGAAAATGAAAACAAGGCTAAATTGATAAGATTGTGCCTTATAATGATTTATATCTGAGGAGATCACATGATGAAAAAAAATGAAAGTTTATCGCTTATATTCTATGTTAGGTGTGATATAATTTACTGTATAAACATGAACAAAGTGTTATTTACAGGAGCAGCAGTACAAACTCGAGGAGCAGCCCATCAAGAGGCTCCACCCCGGCTGTAAAGAAAAGCTCCGACTCCGCTTCAAGGCCATCTACTGGAAAGACCTCTTCGAGGACTCCGTCACCAAAAAAAAACCTCACCCCCGGCCCCATAGTCAAAAAACATTTGAGTAAACAAGTCACCCCCGTTTAAAATTTAGGGTAATTTACTTTGTAAAATTAAACCAATTTTTTCCCCCGTAAAGGGATAAGCTAAATTTTAATCAAATTAAAAACATTTTTATTAGCTAAATTCACCCCCCGGGATTTTAAGGTAGACCTTGATGGCAAAAAGATTTTTTATTGCTACCCTTTGTGTCGACTCCCGCCCAATTTTTTAAAATTTTTTTTTTTTAGAAAAAATTCTTCCCTTATCCCGGCTTTTGGGTTTTAAAAATCCAGCATGGGGAAAAGTCAAGCAGCTGCATACCCACGCTGTTTTTTATTTAACTCATTAAATGTTTTTATATAGAATGAGTAAGGATGTGTTAAGCTCGACTATAGCCACTCTGAATCGTATCACTAATAATGTGAACTGCTGTAAACAGCCTGAATTACCACAGGAAGGTGAATCAGCCAATCAGGAGACAGCTAACAATAGCCAATCAACAGATGAGTTACAATCACATGCAGAAGGAACAGCCAATGAGAACAGGTCTTTCTGCATGGATATGTTCTTGTGGAAATACATAATTAAATGTTGTGGGGTTGAATTTTTGTTGCTGTGTTTTTCTTTCTTTTTTTTCCCCCCTGCAGAATTTTTTTCTCTTTAGTTGCTGCCACAGATGGATGTTCTAGCTTTTTATTCACATTCTTTGCTTAGTATTATAGAAGATTGGCTTTGAAGGTTGATGCTTATTTTAGAACGCTTTTAACCCTTCATGTACCATTGTAAAACACATTTTCCACATATACAGAGGAAAGCCAGTCTGTATAGCCAAGCAAACTGAGCTGGTTTAACCGAGAGAGTTTTTATAAAAACTTTCTGTGCTGTTAAGTTTTTCAATAAAATGTAAACTTTATTTTTTTTATTTAATTAATTATTGAAAGAAAAGGCTATAAATGAAATATTGTTTAAACTAAACTTACTAGTACCTGATCTAAACTAGGTCACATGCCATTATGTAAATTTAAGCAAGATATGGGGAGATGGTCTCCATGAAAAGTGTAGCGGAAAGTTGTCTAAAAGTTATGACATGTGTGAAAAATACACTGTAATCTCAGATCTTCCTCTATCAGTAAAAAAATGAAATTCTTAATTACTTCACAGTGTTTGTGTCAACTTGAGGCATATTCAGCCTTCTTTAACATTACATTGGTAAACTTATACATCTATGCAAACTTTTACTTTCTTTGAATTTGGAACATTGTGTATTTTTATGTTGACGAATTTCAGCGTATTAATTTGTGATAGAAATGAGTTGGAAACGGTATACATTTGTAGTGTGTTACAATAAATTGAATATTCAGACTGGTGTGGCTAAACTAGTTCGCAGCACAGGTTGCAATTTACATAATTTAATATGTTAGTTTAGTCCACCCTGTGCTTTATCATTCTGTTACAACAGTAAGAATGTAAATTTATATGTTTCTTAGCTCTTACCCTACTGGCCACTAAAAGTTATCAGCTTATGCCATATGTAAGGAGCCAGCCTGCACATCCAGAAAATTGTTGTAACAGTAATTGTGAATGTTTCATATTTTGTTACATATATCTGACACTACAGCCAACTATATTAAATCGTCTTACTAACCTTAAAGGCCCATTAAGCCTAAAAAATGCTATCATTTTATTATTAAAACCTTTTTATTTTGTTGCTTTCTCACATTTTGCAAAAATGATACTACATTGTGATTGGCCATATATCGGAGTCATATACATTTCTGGGGCATAATTTGCCTTTAATCTATTGAATATATGTAATGGATTGGCCCTGCCGTGAAACAAGAATAGTCCATTAATTTTTCAGATTAAAAAAATTTGATATCAAAAAACAAAAACTGACTGCATGGATGTGCAGGCTGGCCTGGCTTTATATTGGTGCCAAATGCTAATTTCTTATTTGGTTTCCAGCCTAAAATTGTTTCACATCTTCAGGGCTTCCTTAAGTTTCAGAATCCTTGACATTGGAAGTCACATTATATAGGAAAAGAAGGAAAAGCATTATATTTTTTGAGAAGCCAAAATCAAGGAGTAAATGACTCCCAAACTTCCCATTAAAGGAAGCCCTGACATCTTACTGAATTAAACTCAAAAATATGCAACCGATTTGTTGTTAATTTTTGTGAAAGTACAGTCAAATGCAGCACTTACTTGTAACCCCGGTTCAGTTGGGAAAAACCAAAATATTTTTATTCTGGAGTAAGTCTTTTATAGCTATACATTTTACTCGTAGCTAAACTGTTACTTATTATAAATGTATGCAGTAGCAGTATTCTATTCATTTTATTTGTAGTTGTATATTCTATTTATAGCTATATATATTCTATTTATAGCCAAAGTCATGGTCATTCTGTAGTAGCAAGTCAACCTCAAGCTGGACAAGGATATGTGTCCCAGTACAGAACAGAGGCTAAAGGTCCAGACTCGTCTCTTCGTGTTGGCCCTAACAAAGGTTTACTGCTGTAAGTATTTGTTTAAACAGAATTTATTTTAGTTCCACTGTTTTGGAAGCTATTAGCTTATAGACACACTCTCGAATCTTTTCCTTGAACCAGCCAGTACTTAGCACGGTGTTTAAAGTTTCTTACTAAACGAAACATCTGATGGGGTTTGAACGGCTAGCGATCCTAAGAATACTAGTCTGAAGAGTCAACCTTTTGGCCGTGTCCCCTTGGTGCAGGAATGTGTTTGTGTATTCTAGGCTTAATGAGGGTCACTTTCAGACACTGAGAGTAAAGACCCCGCAGTAAGGTATTGTAAATATTAAAATTGTAAATGGCACATCTGTCAGAATGCTTGAACTTTAAATAAATCACTTTCTAACCAACCATGCGATTAGTTACCAGAAAGGCTGTTTGCAGGGGCTTGTGGCTAAGAAGTTTGTCACCGACGTTAAATGAATTTTGTTTCTCTATAGCTAATTTAAGATTAATACCAGTAGTTCAATCAGGTTTTACCAAGAATAATGAAATGTAGCGGCACCCTATACCTGCCGGAACCGAAATTAATAACCTTTGCCCGTCAGGTATAGAACAAAGTCAGTTGTTGTGTTGTTTTATTCTTAATCTGCAGGGACTGAGACAGGTTAGACTTTACCTTCAGTATAAGGTCTGGCACATCTGTGGAGTTTGACTGTGCTTTACACTGTTGGTAGCTGAATTTTTGTATTTTGATACTGAATTACCATAAAATGCTAAATGGACTGGCCCGAATCCAAAGTTGGACAATACCATTTCATGAATTTAGTAGGTTAAGGGTTAAAACCAATAATCAGAGGATACAAATCCTGTTGTTTTTTTTCCTCCAGATCTGAATACACGTCTGCTAAAGGACCAAATCCGGAACTCAGACAGGGACCTGATTCCAGCCGAGTTCAAGGGTCGCAGGGGGCAATGGGACCAGACAGATCCCTGCACTGTGGACCCCAACTGGACCTGAGAAGTGGCCCAAGCACAGAGAATCTCCTGATTACAGCTATTTAGTTAGACTCGTACTTTCTGCCTTCGTTTCGGATTATAAGGAGTACATAAAAATTTTTTGTTAATCTTAGTGTTGTTCTCCCAAGCTTTGAAGAATTGAACACTATGACTTAGCTTAAAAAATTAATTTTGCTAATTTGCAAAGTGCTTGATTAAGAAAAAAATCTAAATGTATATTTTTAACAGTTGGGTAAAAACAACCTCAAAAAGATGACTTTCATTCATTTAGTACAAATAGGATATTCATTTATTTACTATATTTCAAACAAGATTTGTAATTATGATTATAGCACTTAATCTATGGAAGAGCATTATGGCCTGCGTTATCTATAAAATATGGAAAGTTAAATAGTGATTTTTCTCAGTCGTAGTGATGAGACAGCAATTTTTTATTTGCAAAGTGTAAAATAAGATATTTTCATCAGGCCTTATATTCTTAAAGTCAACATTTCAGACTAATTATGTGGTTAAATATTCTTTTTTTTTCCACAATCAGTTCTGTTTTTATTTGTGATACTTCACAAACATTTATTTTTACCAATATTCAGTTCGTGAAATTTCATCCCTTGTGAAAATTTGATTTTAGAGTAGTATAAGTATTGTTCATTGTATGACTGTATTTTATAAATTCTTTTTTTAAATTATTTATAAAAAAATTGTTTTATAAACTTGAAAATAATGTATTTTAGTATTGTCGTATAATTTTATGTTGTGCAATAGAACATTTTTGTGAATGTTTCATGATTTAACAAGTGGCATCCGTGATCAAGAGGTAATGATAACAGTATGTTCAATCCCGTAAGCAACGTTAAATGTATCTGCTTGTGTCAGAAATTTTGTATACAAGGGCATTTAAAGTCTTTCTCCATCAGGAAATCTAGAAAGTCACATTATGACATAAACAAAGGTTCTGGGTGGTAGGTAATGCTTCTAGACCTCTAGGTTCGGCACAGAGGAGCACATGGGGACTTCCCCTACCAAATAATGCTGTATAACAGCCTAATGATCTTAAAGGAACTCCACTGAGGTCAAAAAGCCATAAAACATAAAAATTGAAATTTTTGCAAAGATCAAGTGATGAAAAAAAAGAAGGAAAAATCTGTTTAGGATAATAAAAAAAATACTCTCGAGTTAAATTGAAAATTTTTGCATGAATTATCTTGGTTTCTGTAAAAAGCATGGCATCACTTTACCATTTTGGTCATTTGTACAATGAAAATAATTCTTCTAGGAAAACAGAGTGAAGGAATGACCTGAAATTTTACATACAACTTATTTATCTAGACCTCAATCAAATCTTATACAAGTCTCAAATATATATAGATATATTTTTCCAATCCTTTTATGTGAGGAAAGCTCAGGAAACCTCAATGGAATCCCTCTAATATTTTTTAAAAGGATATCAGATCTGACAAAATGAAATAAACTTTTGGATGCCACAAGGTTTCTTTTTTCTGTATCATTGCAGAAAATGTGTTTTCTTAGTTTTCTTGTCATATGTAATTATATATACATGTAGTACAATGTACAGGATTTATTGCTTATAATTGATTCTATCCATTTATAGTATGTTTAAATATAATTTTAAAGTTGAATTTTAGTCAACATACTTTGCAGTATCATTCTTTTCTTTTTATTACCTCCTTTTATGACTCACAATATTATGTAAACCAGGCCTTGAGGTTATAAAACTTTTCTCTGAGCTCAGTCTCAAATCTCAGGACTGTCATTGGTCAATTTATATTCTGTGCTGGTTTTTGATTGGTTAATACTTCAAGACAAGCTGAGAAAACTTCTTATAACCTATGACCTAGTTACAGTATTGTGAGATTTTTGTTTTAAACTTAAATATTAGTATATTGTTTACTTTTATTATTATCCATTTACTATGATTAATGTAAGTTTAATGATATTTATTTCACATTGCTATGTTGTTTTTATAATAATTAATAAATTTATATAAAAATCATTTGTGATGTCAGTGATTTTTTTACTTTTATTTTACAGCCAAATAAGGCTGTTTCCCCTAGCCTAAAATAGGTATATTCCCACTAAAAATGCTAATATTTTCCCCAAATGCCCTGTGCACATTCTTCACCAGAACCATGACTTAACAGCAGATGACTTATATCAGCTAGAAGACAGAAAGTGGTTCCTATAGTATAGAGAGCCTCTGCTATGAACCATACATTTTAAATTAAATTGAACATTTTATAAAATGTGTGGGTAAATTCTATTCTCAGTTGATGGAATTTGATTTTCCCCTTTTCTGATTTATCACGCTATATTTTCCCCTTCAGAAAGCCTCAGGTTGTTTTGAAAATTAAAAAAAAAGTCACTGGATGTTGATTATTTAGTGTGTTGCCCTGCATAGAAACTCTGTCTTATAACACACCCAGGGCTTCCACAGTGTAACAGTATCAAAGTTATACATGTAATTGTTTTACAAACACCTGAACATAGACATAAGCTGTTAGAGATGGTCATTATCTAAGTGAAGATAAACTCTCCCTTATCAGTTAGATTTAAGCCTTTTGTTTTTATAAGCAGAGTTAACACAGACTAGTTAGTTATAGTATGGTTCAAACACATTGGCTTTCAGTCCAATTGGCTTTAACTATCAACATTCTCAGTGGGAATAAGCTCAGTACAATCTATATGAACACAAGCTCTAGGATTATAAACCAATTAGATTAATAATATCTGTCATATGGATGGTTGCGGTTTAGATTTGAATATCCATCCCAAGGGGAACCCGTTCATTGGGCTTTAGTGAGGCTTGCTGAGTTACCGCCCATGGGTGGGTTCCGGAGGGACAGATATTCCGATCTAAACCGCAAACAGTTCAGATATTTTTTCTTGCATTTTCCGCCATTCTTTCATATCTAAAATGGTTGACCTCAATAAGATATTAGTTCATGGAAATTAATTAATTCATCCATAACTATTTTCTTACAATAGCATATGAATTTACAACTTGAATAACAACGGTGAAATGACATTTCTAAAATGCACCGAAATAACGTAATTTTAACGTGGTTCATTCATAAAATGCCCTAAAATGATGTTGTATGACAAGCGACTCATCTGGAACCCCCTATGGCAGATGAAATTTCTGGCATGGGTAAAACTCACGGAAACCCCGTCTACTATGCAAGAAATGTTTGTTTTAGCCAGGTAGGAAACAAATTTCTATTTGCTTAGTGAAAATAAGGTCTCTTTAAACTAACAAGCTGAGAGAACATTAGCTATGTATAAACAAAGTGAATAAGCTCTCTTTCAACTAACATAATTGAACATTAGCTCTAGGTAAACTTTCTGGAGCTAAATGAACATTAGCTATATATAAGTAAAGTGAACATAAGTTCTCTATAAGCTCTCTGGAGCTAAATGAACATTTAATTTAGTTATCTATATAGTTGGTAAACACATCTCTTGGTCAGCTGTGTGAACATTAGCTACACATACCGGTAAGTAAAGTGAACATAAGTTCTCTATAAGCTAAATAAATATTAGCTCTCTATAACGGTAAGTGAACATCAGCTATTAGGTAAATGAACATAGCTATATAATTTGAGTGAACATATTAAGCTCTGTTTAAGCTTAATCATAACAGTGGCTCTTTGTAAGCTTACAAAGAGCCACTTTATATACAGACTAAGTGGTTAGTGTATTTAGGATCTCTATTAGCTTAGTGAACACAAACTTTACAAACTAATTGAACATACATGACTTGTATGTAAAATTAGTAAACAAAAATAGCAGCATATTTGGATTTGTATTTTTATTCACATAATAATAACCATTCATGAAAATAATTATTTACAATTTCTAGAAACAGAGAAATGTACAATAACATTGTACTGTTGAGAAGTGAAATCCCTACATTGAACATTAAGACAAAAAGACTGACTTTCCTTGCAAAGGTTTACATTTTAGCATGGATTTATCAGTGATTTTAGTGATATTTAAATCAATTAAGACAAAGTTTGGTCAACACTTGTACTTGTTCTAAGGTATTTAAAATGAATAAAGACATAGAAAATCTTTACACCAAGTCCTAGATAAAATATGCAGAAATTTCTGATAATCCAATAATAATTGGGTAAAACTTTGATGATAAAAATAGTAAATTTTGTTATATTTTAGAGTGGGACTACAAAAAGTGTTGGAGCACCACATTAAACCGTATTCCAGTATATACCGGACAAGGTGCTTGAATGATTATATACTAAAATCTCGCCTTTTCACCCCCTGAAATGCTCTTAAGGATGTACAATTCATGTAAAATGCATCTAATCATACTGATTTCTTTCTCTGAAATATGTAAGAATCAGCAAAAAAAAAGGTGATATTTTCCGACTTTGTTCGTATGATTTCTGCAAGAGTCTAGAGGTACTGCTTAAACACTTGTAAAGCCCATATTTTGCAAGTGACATTCAAAACTTCACCTTGATTGTGCATATCTATACAGCTCTTAAAATATGAGTAAATTTTTCTTTCAGAATTTACATTTGATATATTTTGGATATTTTTTTCTTTCTCAAGTTGTTAATTTTTATTGAAATTCATTTCACTGACATGTTAAACCCTTGCCACACTTAATATTGTAAGTTCACTGGTCCAGTTTTCAATCTTGACAAAACCATGCATCATTTTTAGGTAAACTTTCAAATTAAATATTGCCTGAATAGCAAACAGTGCAGTCCAAGATGGCACGAAATTTGTCCGATGATCCAAGTCTTCACTTGTCTCATGGGTAGTTTTTGTTACCTCCAGCAGGGCATTCAAAAAAGTTAATATTTAAATTCACCATGGTATAATTCTATTGTATTCTAAGTAAGTTTCATATTTTAACGAAATTTCCACCTCATTTCACAAATCTAATATATTTAATATCATCCTCGGCTGAACTGTTCACGATTTACAGTTTTATGAACACTCAAATCAATTGAGTCTCATTGCATCGCAACCACATATAATTTTGACATCAATCAAAATAATCACTAATCACTGTTTCACACATGGTCTACAATATCTCCTTGCATTTCAATTTATGTTAATTTGAACATATATCAAAACAATTATCACCAAAGCCCCATTTCACGTTTCCTCTACAGTGTCACAATATATTTCCAATTGATGTTTAGTTTGTTTCCATTATCAAAATTATTGTTAAGCTTTAACCACCATGTCAAACTTCATCTTCATTCAATAACATGTTCGGAATGCCGTTTGTCACGGGAAATTTTCTACCACTCTCCGGACACACCAATTCTCCTTCTATCACCTCAACCTATAAAATACGTCATGTAAAAACAACAAAATTATGTACTTCTATTATTTCAGTTTGTATATTTTGGAAAAATCTAGTCAAATTCCTAATATTTTGAATCTGTCTATTTATCAGACCTGTCTAAAGAAGGGAGGAAAAGGATTTAGCAAGAAATCAAGGTAACTTATGGTGTCAAAGAATCCTAAGAAGTTTGTCAACTACATAACTATCTATCTTCCATTTCCATTAATGTCAAACGCACACGGGGACACATGACTCTAGAATAGTCACTTCAGAAACAGCTATGAGATACAAGGGAATCCAGGAACCAGTCCCTTGGTTCTTTTACATGCCCAGTGTATAGCACTGATACATGCGAGGATTACCTGGATTTCTCACCAGTACACCTCTAGTTAGGTGGGAAACACTGAAAGAGTCTCTGAAAAATTCCCAGGAATTGTTACCCAGGATCGAACCTGGGACCTCAGGAGTGACAGCCAGTGGTCTTACCAACTTAGCTATCGCCCCACCACTATAACACACAAATACAAGGAAACAAATACAACAATGACCTGTTATTCAAATTATAAATGTAAAAGCAAATCTCACCTCTAAAAGAACATGATGAGTTTTCTTTAAAAAATCTTCATTTTCCTCATACTGTGGAGCAACATCTTCCGGCAAGTCCTCACATTTTCCTACCTGTAAATGACCCAAAATAATGACAATGAAAATGCCTATTTAATATGTAAAAACTATTTCGAAATATGAACTTGGTAAAAACTTGGAAAGAGTAACCTTGAAACTGTTATACCACAAAAAAACTGTGCTTTGAAATAATATTAAGAAGCAAATTAAATACATGCATTTTTCTAGCTAAAGCTTGAACTGGCGGTGCCAGTATGTTCTATATTTAAAGAAGGACAAATCCATTATACAAATTCAGGAGGTTAAAGGTTAATATCTTCTGAATCATTTCTCATTGATTTAAAATACAATATGGTTTCATATACATTGATGCTTTGCCTTTAAGACAAAATTAAAAAAAAGTTCATGACATGCATTTCTCCACATATTTAACCTAACTAACTGTTTAGATGGTCCAACTTCTATATTTGGAACCTTACAATACAAAAGGCAATTATTGGGATGTCAAGATCAATATTTGCAGTTGGTCAGTTGATAGTATATAGAGCCCGGTCAGACTGTGTGTCTATTCTATGCTTAATAAGGGACAATCTGCCCTTTCCGGCACTGAGAGTATGGACCCCGCATTGTCAGAATGCGTGCCTATTCAATGCTGAATAAGGGACCATCTGCCTTTTTTGGCAATGAGAGTGCAGACCAAGCCTTATCAGACTGCATGGACGCTGCAAATGCTTATTACTGTCAGTTCTAGCAGTTGAAAGGCTAAAATAAAATGACATTTGTTTCCAAATACATTCTTTATGCAAAATATATCTCACATCAAGAGCTGCTTGTCTGAGAGCTGCCCAGTCTATCTTGGGTATCATTCTTGCAACAAACTCTGGATTGAAATCCACTGACTTCACTTCAACCTTGGATGCCTGAAAAACGAATTGTTCCCAATTTTGAGAAAAATAAATGAAAATAAATTTGATTAACCTATGTGATAGAAGAAGTGTTTAAACAATAACTATTTGATATTTATAAATTATAGTGAGGGAAATAATACTAAAGGCATTTAGCAGTGTACAAAACCAATTCTTTTCGGTACATACATGTAATTATTGCATAAAAGGTTTTGCATATTTATTAATAAAAATTAAAATTAATATGTTAACAGGTAAAATGAATAGAGGAGTTCGACTTAGATTTTCAATCTCCTGCTACTATTTTGTTTTGTTTTCCCATTAATGACAAACCCCATTTTGAGGACTCACATTGTAGATGTGCACTCTAATGCATGCCATTATAATGACTGTGTTTCCTGGGTGTCATAACCTGAAATTTACATCAGTATATAAAACCCTTCATGTGGAAACTTTATTTTAGTTGGGTTTTCATTGCACCAACACTGTAAAGGTCATATGGGAAATTTCTAGATTTACTGGTGGAGGAAGACCTCAGATGGACCTCCATGTATTATTTCAGGCACTAACAGACACTCGAGAAGAACACACAGCAGTGAGTGGGAGGCAAGGAGTTAGAAGTCAATGCCCATAACCGCTCAGCCATGGCACTCCACTTATTGGCAAAATTCCCGGCAACAGATGCATTACTTTGATTTTGGACATAATCACCACCCGTTTTGGATATCCTTGCCTTCCCATGATTTTATGAAATATTATCAATATATTATTTTAGTAAAAGGCCTTGCCTTAAATAATTAAACAAAAAAGTTCAGAATGATAATCTAACTCTGCTAAAAAAATCCTCATTTTTATTCTATATCAACTAATAATTGTCTTACCCATTTATTATACACCTAAAAGTAACAATATTTATATATTTAGAAGAATATAAATGGGGAAGAACAGTCTGAAATATGCAAGACAGTTTTCCCAAAATAATAGGGACAGAACAGTCAGGGGCAGAACGGATTCTGCCCAGAACAGGTCTAGGATTTCATGATATTTACGGACAGTCTGTAAATTTATGGACCATCTATAATTTTACAGATTTTTCTATCTGTAAATTTATAGACATTAAATGCGAAAATAGTATAAGTTGTATTTAAATTAAAAACCGCAGGTTAATAAGAATAAATTTATTGATTATATGATTAAATGTAACAGTATGATAAGATTCAGAACAATTTGTTGACTTTCAATTTTCACTTTTAACAAAAATTTCAAAGTCATCATACAAAGATGAAACTTATCTCAGTAGCTTTGTTAAATTAGAAACAATCAATATAACAACTTGTTTTAAGCTGCGGATTTTAGTATAAAACTAAAAATAGCAAATTGAACATTGAGGATCTGTAAATTTATGGACTGAAAAATCTTTAAATATATAGACTATCCATAAATTTACTGACAGTCCATAAATATCATGAAATCCTAGACCTGCAGAACAGTCAGGGGCAGAACGGATTCTGCCAGACAGATTTTTAAGTCATTACAAATTGTATAACAATTCTATACCTGAATACCTAACGGGAACCCTTTTGAAACACCTTTTATTATATTTGATGTCAACATATTATGTGTTAACAGCTTCATTATCTGTTGATTATTATTTTCACGTGCTGCACAAAAAAAAATCTGTTTACTTCAACAACCACTATAAATTTTTCTAAACGAAAAATATAAAAACCAATTGATGCTTTTCGAAATAAAATATTTCAGAATGTTTATTTTAGTATGGCAATTAGATGATATAATTTTGTTATATCTTTGAAAATTATGTTTGTTGATTATCTAATTGGTTCTCTTCTTTCATTTCTGCATTTTTAGATTTTATATTTCGTTCAAAACAAAATTTTAAACTGAAGTAACCAATATGTCAGCGCCCAATCACTCACATGAATATTGAAGGATTGGTAAAAATACACTCGTCCTATTATTATTCATGTTAACATTTTATATAGAATTATACGGTAATAATTATTTAAATGTTGTACACCGTTAACAATCATTACTCTTCCTGTTTATGTATTGTTATTTAATTTAAAGATTCTGGTGTAACAAAGTGTAGCTTACGAACATTTTAACGAAGTTATGGAGAACTGTTCAACTCGCCCCGGCGTCCGCGTCAACATTTCAGTGTAGTTAAATAATTTTCACTATATTTTTTTCACCTTTTAAGGTATCAACAACTTCAACTTCAAATATATATATTCCTTATCATCAACCACATCTTATGTGACAAGGTTCATAACTCTAGCACCAATATTTTTAGATTTATCTCCCCTTGAACTTAGAATTTTTCCTTAAAAATATTTTTTTTACTATAACTTTCATTTTTTAAGGTATCAACTTCAAACTTCAATTATATTTTCCTTATCATCAACCACATCTTATTTGACAAGGTTCATAACTCTAGCACCAATATTTTCAGATTTATCTCCCTTTGAACTTAGAATTTTCCTAAGAAAATAATATGAAATTAGGCAAAGCCTACGTACAGAGAAGTCGATAAAAATTCCTTTCACTTTTTTTCCGTTTTAAAGGTGTCATTCTGTATTTCATGCACCGCTTCCGTTTTCCGAACAGTTAAGATTTTTTCTGTTATCGGAATAGATCGACTTCATTGAGTTACAATGTAAATGGTAGCACCTAACTAGAACTGACACTGAACATTTAATTGAAAGGTATAGAATTCTATATATTTTTTAATTGTTTTTTTTATTTGATTTTCTTTTAAATATACACATGTAGTCTATAGCCGGGCAAGCCAAAGCCCGGGCCCGCTTCGCGGACCCGTACTTTGACTTCCCCGTATTATTTTTTTACTGTTACTTATTTATTTCTTATTCATCAACTTCATGCTTCAAAAATAATTATGTTCCTTATCATCAACCACATTTTATATGTGACAAGGCAGGGTTCGAATTTAAGCTGGCATACTGGCAAAATGCCAGTTAAAATCTAATAATGCCAGTAAAAATTACTCTAGCTGGCATTTATTTGCAAGTGACTGTTCATTTAGGACGTTTACATAATTGATATCTTCTGAGCTGATGATGATGCTTTGCAACTGTCCGCTGCAGAAACTGATGATATTTACTGTGCCAGATGCAGTAACTGATGACTTTACCTTAAAAAGTTAAAAATCAATTTTTGGTTGCTCTACTGCAGTATTTATTTTTTCTGTGACTATATTTTGATGGACTATTTATTACAGCTAAACACATATTGTTTTATCAGTTTTATCAGTGTCCAGTGTAAATGTGTAGCACTCCTCTGTAAATTGTTTACTTTTAAGCTGAAATATTTATTTAAGAAGATCTGACTACCTCTGAGTTTTCAGGATGTTGGTGAAATAAAGTACAAAATGTGCTAAAATTAATGAAGGTCCTAAGAACAAGTTTATAACTGTACATTGTCACCAGTGGGTGTTCCTCTGGTATATCTAATACAATTGTTTATCATTTATAGATTAATGTGTTGATTTTTTTTTTGTTTCGTTACAAGAAGAGATCTGTGTTTATTAGTGATAAAGATGTTTGTGACATTCAATAGTCATTCAAACTTATTATCATTTGTCATACCATGTGTTCAAAATACATTGTCAATGCGTATTAAAAAAACAATAAGATACGTGATCATGGAAATGCCAGTTGACTACATCATATTGCCAGTTACTCATATGATCACTTGCAAAAATCTGCAAGTAAAAATTACTGCTAAATTCTAACCCTGCAAGGTTCATAACTCACACACCAATATTTTCAGATTTATCTCCCCTTGAAGTTAGAAGTTGAAGTTTGCCTAAATACATTATTTTTTTACTGTTCCTTTTTTATTTCTTAAGGAATCAACTTCATACTTCAAATATATGTTCCTTTTCATTAACCACATGTTATGTGACAAGGTTCATAACTGTAGCACCAATATTGCAAGAATTATCTCCCCGTGAACTTAGATTCTTTTACTTAAAAAATGTTATTTTTTACAATAACTTCTTTAGTTTTAAAGGTATCTACAAGTATCAAACTTCAAATACATATTCCTTATAGACAACCATATCATATGTAACAAGGTTCATAACTCTTGAAGCAATATTACTTGTTCCTTGTCAGGTGAGCAATTTCAGGGGCATCTAGAAAACCAGCAATTCATAAGAAAATGAGCTGCCAACAGATGATAAGACACACATTACATTATATTATCAACAAAAATTTAGATGTCCTAAATAATTAAATGAAAATGGCATTGAAGAAACCAGAACTGGTTACTTGACTGTACTTTCTTTAACCCATTACTCCATGAGAATTTTGTGAAAAATGGATGTATTCATTGAAAAGCCTCCTGTTACAAGTTCAAATTGTTATGGAACTATAAAAACTGCTTCAATACTGATCAAACTTGGCACACATGTTGATTGGCCCATGCTCAATCTTTAATTTCCTGTTACCACTGAGGTCAATGAGGAATTTTTTTTTCAAATGTCTGGGGAAAAAAAACATACATGCCATTGAGAATGGGTTTTGTAAGTCTGACCTAAGGGACACTGGAAAAAGGCCTGCATTTCAGTTACATGCTTTTTTCATGTATAAAAGAGCTGAGCTGTTGAGACTGTTTGACTGTATTTGATTGTAAGTCATAATATATATGTACCTTTAAGTCTTTTATATTACAGAACATGGCCAAGACAACACCAGTGTCAAAGCATGAGTTGTTTGTAACTGATCTAGATTTCTGTCCAAGATGTGGGACTGTTTTGCCTTTACCTGGCACAGAAGAAGTTGTTACATGTAAACTGTGCTTTTTCCAAAATGATGTTAGAGGTAATTGTTTCATGCATTTTTCTAAGCTTATTAAACGGATACTCAGACAAGTTAATGACAAAAATTTTAAAGTGATCATACATGTATGTACTCAAATCAGGCTAAAATGTTTTAAAGTCCCAGGATGATTTTCTGTATATATTCTATATATTTTGGGTTTGAAGTGTAAGTATATATAAATCTATATATATTGAACAAAATTTAGAAGTCAACAGAATCACTGAGTAGTTTTAAAACAAGTCATGTGACTTAAACAAACCCTGGAAGTTACAATAACAGATATTGTGGATATAGTATGATTAAAATAAGTCTAAGTCATTCATTTGACATGTTTTTACGTTTTTAGAATTCACTGCGACAACTATTTGAAATCTTACCGCTCTAACCTGACCAACGAGGGTAAAGTTAGGAAACCCCCATTTTATTCTTTATAACTAGATAAGTTTTGTCCCTGTGATTGCTTAGTGCATTTATTTTGAGGACATTTACTGAATGATGAATAAAAAATTTAAAACAAAGAAATTATGGAAAATTTGCCCGTGTCTCCCTGTAAGATTTCATTATGTTTATGTTTAAAGACAGTGATTTTAAGTTAACTACGTTGTGCACAAGTGTATAGAACTGTTGACAACCCTCAGCATCTTCATCCAGGTTTCTGATTAGTTTTTGTGTAGTAAGTTTTTTAGCTTGACTATTCAAAGAATAGAGAGAGCTTTATAGTACTCAGCTAGACATTGGTGTCCCACTTTGGTTAAGTTTAAATTATGTTGATATCTCAAAAACTACTGATTTGAGGGAATGGGTTGAAACTTCATACACTTTTTACACTTTGAGAGCGTTATAGGAAGTCACTGTCCAAGGCCCATAACTGACACTAACATGGATTTGGACAGAATTATGGCCCTTTTTGAACTTAGAAAATTTTAAATTCTGAAGTAAGATACTGAAAAAAATTTCAATTCTGAAGTAAGATACTGAAAATGTCAGACATTGGAAGTCACAATATATGGACAAAAAAGAAAAAGTAATATATTTTGGAAGTCACAAGCTAAAATCAGGAGTAAAGGACTCCCAAACTTCCACTAATGGAAGCCCTGACTTATTTTGTAATTTGTCATACAAGACTTGTATTAAAGATCTGTAAGTTATTATTTTAGATTTTGATGGAGTAGAGATACATACAATGAAAGAGTTCAACAAACCAGAAATATTCTTGAAAAAAACTGAGGATGCAGAGTCACAGCTTAAAGGCCCTACGGTACTTTTTTTTTGTGGTTTCAAACATTTTTAATTGGAACATTTGATTGCAGATTAGTCCTTTTCCTCCGTTCCTATGGTCAGTTTATACTCATTCTATTGTTGAAAATAGAACATTCCGATTGGAATGATGGACTTCATTCAATCTCAGTGGAAAAAGTTGCCATGGCCCTTTGTTACAATTAAATATAAAATGTGCCTGTTGTCTCATTTTGACAGGATATATATACAGTTATTTCTCATCACACCATTATGCAAGCAATTAAACTGTTAAATATTGACAGAAATGTTAGATATTTGGTGTTTGTTTTCCACTTTTTCTATATACATGTTTATAATAAGGTCCTGTCTTTATCAAAGTTACATTAGGTGACATGAGTGTTAAATTTGCTATGTTACATGTATTTTCTTGATGCTTAATAAGTAAACTGGCTGTGATTGTTTGTCAGGTTGATAGAAAATGTGCTAAATGTGGACACGAGGAAATGATTTACACAACCAGACAGACGAGGTCGGCAGACGAAGGGCAGACTGTTTTCTTTACCTGTCCTGAATGCAGGTAGATGATGAGTTTTAATATGTTCATAAATAGATTATTAGTTCTTATACCGGCTCACAGTATTAACCGAAATATCTTTTTTGAGGGTACATGTTTATGGAGTTAATGTGCAGGCTCTACTGAATAGTCTGCTAATTTAAAACATGTTTGTTACCCAAGAGCTAGAAATTCCCGACTGTGACAACAGCTCAGCTGGTGTTTGATTCTTTTTCTTGCATTTTACATATGAAACATATTTCAGAAAGAAAGTATGATATACTACTATATAAATCAATAAATAAATATAATTTATTTACGAAAGGTACGATGAATCCTATTTTCGTACATGTCTTCAATCAGACATTTACACATACATGTATACAATTAATCAAATGTAAGCAAAATGATAATCCAAACTACAGCATTAATGAAATATATAATTTCTTAAAGAATTTTCATTTCTTAAAGAATTTTCAAGCAAAACCTGTTAAGTTATTTATATCATTTAATTATAGAAACATTTAATTCTTCACTGGATTTATTCTTTATTACAGATTTCAAGAGATCGAGTATTCCTGAGACGGGGAACTACTTTCTTACCTTCTTCATATCTGGTTGTCATAATGATCATATCTGGTTGTCATAATGATCATATCTGGTTGCGATGGTGATCATATCTGGTTGCCATGGTGATCATATCTGGTTGTCATGGCGATCATATCTGGTAGCCATTGTGATTATATTTGGTTGTCATGGCGATCATATCTGGTAGCCATTGTGATCATATCTGGTTGCCATGGTGATCATATCTGGTTGCCATGGTGATCATATCTGGTTGCCATGGTGATCATATCTGGTAGCCATTGTGATTATATTTGGTTGTCATGGCGATCATATCTGGTAGCCATTGTGATCATATCTGGTTGCCATGGTGATCATATAGTTAAACAGTATCATTTGTCTAGTATACTGTGCTCCTCTTAGTTCATCATGCATCATGTCTTATATTATTGTTAAATGTAATGATTATGTGTTAAAATGGACTAATTCACTCTTATATAATTGTTTATGTTATTATTTTGTAATTTGCAATTTTGCTGTTCAAGTTTTTTTATTTTGAATAATGTTATTGATATTTGATTGTGACTGAAAAGAACACAGGCCTTTTTTCCCAGATAGTGGAATGGGTCATTCCCTTAAATTTGTTGGAAAATAACATTGTATTTTTAGAAAAGGGGAAATACAAAATTTGATTTTAATTGATTTAAAAAAAAAAGAAAAAGAAGAGAAAATAAGGGCCCTTGCTATATATGTGCTATGGAACAAAAAAAAGCCCTAGAACCAATCTCAAGTCAACTTTTAGAAACCATGTAGTTGTATTGCCATATTAAAGATACAGGAGACATGATCAGCCTATTCAATAGTGTAAGATGGCCTTATAAAAATGAAGAATAAGAAAATTGTCATAGATTGTCAGCAATAAATGATCTTGTTAAACATTGAACACTGTTATACTTACTTAATAAATATTTTAAAATCTGTGTAAAAAAATAACTATAAATAAAATGATGAAAAGTTCCGTATTTTTTATATATTTTTTTTAAATAATACTTGAAATGTAATATGGCAACTTTCCAGTATGCTGGATACCCCACCATGCATTATTTCATGCAAAATCTTTGAAACACTATATAGATTTTTTAAATTGGACACTTATTTCTTAGTAAAAAAATTGATTAAAATTCGACTTTTGCTCAAAATAGTGAAAGCAATATGTCTGCATGTTATCTTACGAGTTGGCATCAATGTGACTACCAATGTTTTCAAGTACATTGTATAAAGATTGTTAAATATACATTGTATATACAATGCTTAGTGGTTTTTAGCTCAACCTTTTTTGAAAAAAAAGTAGAGGTATTGTTATAGTCCTGGCGACGTTGCCCTTGTCATCAGCAAACTTGTACCTTGATCATAACTTTTTTTATTTCTTGGTGTATTGTCTTAATACTTTGCCACAACAACCCTTCTCACCAGAAATAATTTCTCAAGATACAGCACAGACAATAATAGCATTTTCCCATTCTGCAGCATAGAAAGTATTCCAAGCCAACTTCAAATATCTTGCCCCTCATCTCTGTCTGTTTGAGTTCTGTCGGAAACATTAGATTTTTTTATTTGAGGAAGCTCCATCTTGTTTATGGAAGGACAATGATTCTACTCCAGTGCCTGCTGAATTATATTGCCTGTAGGTCTGTAAAACTGGAAAATTTTCTGTATGACCATGACAATGTAAGTGCGACTATGAACTCGTCTATGGATGTTTCTAATTTAAAATTTTCACCATTTTCGTGTTAAAATGACTGTTGAATTCTGCGTAAGCCGGTGTTAGGGTGCGTGGACAGTACCTTGCCTATACCAGTACCATTTTATTGCTCTAGAGAGGTTGATTTAAATGTAAGTTTTAAATTTATCGGAAGCATTATTACTGATATTGACAATTGATTGTTGCTCCACATAGGGGAGTACACTATATCTATATATATGAATTAAAAATCAACAGGAAAGGTGTGAAATAATCAATAAATAATTTATTTCTCTCAATAATATAAATGTATACAGACAGACATGTAAAAATAAAAAGCTAACTAAAAAATGCCAAATTCTAGGACGGAATACGAAAAAAAAATAACTTAATACAAGCAATATAGATTACAACAAACATAGCACAATACAATGTATTATAAAAAAACATTACAGGCACATTAAGCCTCAGAAATTACAAAAAAAAAAATCTTTTTTCGAAAATCAAATCTGTGATTTATAATAATATATTAAGAGCCTGTAAGATGCTATCATCCAAACAAAGCAGCATTGAATCTGGAACTTTGTCTTCATTATAAAGTATTGATTTTAAACTTTACAACTGGCCAAAAAGTAAAAGTTTGTAAAGCTATATATGGCCAGTAAGTGTGTAGGAAACTGTAACTCCAAAAAACAGAAAGATTTTGGAAAATAAAAATATTTTAAGAGCTTAATGGGCTTTTAAGATAATAATTAAATAAATAATACTCAAAACAGTTTGTTGATAATAAGATAACCAGGCATAGCAACAGTCAATTTGTAACTACAGCCCTTCCTACCACCCGCTAATAGCAAGAACTTTGATCACTGAAACTGATTATCTCTGGTGTAAGTCTTGCTCTACAACATGTACAAAGACAGTCACATGGTGAAATTTCTGAAATTCCACTCTCAATACAGCTCACCTATCTAGAAATCTTGCCAGTTACTTTAATGTGCCAAAACGAAACAACCTAATAAACCTGCATGGGAACAGATTGAAGGTTAAATCTCCATGCTGCCTAGAGGGTGGAGTTACAAAATTGACAGATGGGAGTAGGGGCGGAGTTACAAAATTGACTGATGGGGTAGAGGCAGGGTTACAAAATTTTTTTGACTGGTGGGGGGTAGGGGCAGAGTTACAAAATTGATAAGTGGGGGTAGGGGAGGCAGAGTTACAAAATTGACTGATGCACAAATCTTTGCATGAAATTGGATCAAAATTTGCATTTACTTTAACTAGATTATTCCATTTTGTTTGATTATTTACATACATGACCATGTCATCTTTCCATAACTGGCTTGGCATAATTCAATAACTCTATGAAATGATTTAGTTAGGTAGTTCAGTCAAATCCCTTTGTTGAGACACAAATATATCTATTAATCTTATATGAGAATAGGCAGTAACTTTTGATTAAATTCAACAAATACATACATTCTTCCATTTGAGCATTGTTTCACATTAAATATCTATCCAAGTTTGGCACAAACTAAACAACTAAAATATTGGTCCCGTTTTTTCCCCAAATCACAATGCAAAAAAATAACCGTGTTAAAAATAAAACATAGAATAAGCATTTGACACACAACTAGATTTTCAATCCACCACTACTCAAATTTATATTCCAGAGAAAAAGGAAAATTTCTTCATTTATGATGTTTTTTTCCAAATAAACAACTTAAAGGGACTCTACTGAAGTTTTTTTATATGACAGGACTGAAAATATTTTTTCTTATAATTGTGATAATTTGATGTTAGTCCAAACTTATAATTTCTGTGCAAATTTTCATTCCATCACCTTGCAGCATAATGATTTTATAGAGCAAAATGACTCAAAAATGAAAAGTGTTGCAACAATTTTTGCTTAAATCAGGCTAGGAATGGCACTTACAACCAAATATCAATTTAATTCTGAAAATGTTTCTGTATTATCTTTTCCAGATATTTACATGTTGAGTGCTTCACTTGATGTTTTTCAAAATTTCAAATTTTATGTTTTTATGCTTTTGACCTTAGTGGAGCTCTTTTAAGCACAAGTCATTTCCAATATCTGTCCGCTAGCTCAAAAGGGAGAGAATCAGATTTGTAATCCTCTGGAAGGCATAATTTCTGGGTGATCTTGAATATTGAGTCCTGTCATAGGTCTAGCATCGCTGACGGATAATTAGTTGGTAACTTATGGAGAAAAAAAAACAGTTACATTGACAGGAAATTTAAGGTGCTTGTAATCAAGACACATTGTATATAGGTCAGCAAGACATGGTACAATGATTGAGTTTATCCACTGTGATTATATGAGCCGCATCACGACAAAACCAACATAATGGGTTTGCGACCTACATGAATCCAGACCAGCCTGCGCTACCGCGCAGTCTGATCAGGATCCATGCTGTTCGCATACAAACCCTATTACAAGTAGAGAAACTGATAGCGAACAGCATGGATCCTGATCAGACTGCGCGGATGCGCAGGCTGGTCTGGATCCATTCTGGTCGCAAACCCATTATGTTGGTTTTGTCGTGACACGGCTCATATGTCAAACAATATTTGTTTAAAATGACATTTCTTTTAACAAATAAATAACAATCTATGTACAAAATAATAAGCATTTTCAACAAAGTTTTGAATTTACCTGATGTACATGTTTGTTTGTTTTAATTCTAACTAATTAAAAATACTAAAAATAAATCATGATTTCAATTCAACAAATGCATATAGCTTCATGGTCAAAAATGAAATTCTACAACTTTAAAAAAAAATCATGCTCATTTTTATATTAACTTGCAAAACAAATTTGCCTTTCTTTGAATTTGGAACAGTCCATTCACAGTTAAAGGGATTTTAAAAACAAGAGCTGTCGACTATTCTTAGTGCTTGATAGTAAAAAAAAATGCTTGATACAATCAGGGCCTCCGTTAACGGGCGTACGGCCGTAAATTACGCCCGAAAATCGTATCTGTACGCCGAAAATTAAGATCAATGACGTACCGCTGACTTCCAAAAATTTAGGAATACGGCGAAAATCGTAAGCCGTGACGTACGCCACGACCATTTTCCGACAATTTCTCACTTTCCTGGCATACGATTGGATTATTTATTTAACTCCGCCCCCTGAATTGAATGGTTGACATGACAGCGATGGGGGAAATTATGCGAATGCACCTGGCGCGTGACGAATTAGCGAGTGTTGATTTATGACCTTGATAAGCGTGAAAACAAAGTGATTGGATTAATTGTTTGTTTTGTACGGATAATGGATAGTAAATTGACGTAAACTGTGGTAGGTATCTGTTTTTAATTACTTTAATTAGATAAAATGATTTATTCTTTATTGTGTGCATCGGTAAGTTTTGAATGTATCCGAAAGTTTGCCGAGTCGGCGAAGCGTGTTTTTGTCTTTTGATTTTTTTCCCTTTTGAAGTTAAAGACGTTTTTTTTTCACACATTCTATCGATGTTGATTTGATTTGATTTTTTTTTCACTCGCTAATTACGAATACGAAATTATTATGAGAAGCAAAGTTACATTTAAAAATCTTTTTCCCTACCCACTCTCAAAATGTCTCAATGCTCACTTCTGCAATTTGGCGTATCTCAAAAACGTAATTAAAAAATTAATTTGGTCAAGAACGGTGTTCGAAATTATTTTCATAAAACTTTCAATTTATAAGCCTGATTAAATTAAACCATTTTCGGTTGTTAATGTGTTATGATTCATTTGATACACTGAAATTGTGTTCGGTACTGTAGTAAATAATTTTAAACACAAGAGATATTTAAACAACAATTTTTATTTTACAAATAAGAAATATAACAATGCTAAAGGATGTCATGTTTTTTTTTTATTTCAGGAAATCTACAGAGATCCACCCTTTTAAAACGCAATGAATCCAAGGACCACAAAAATGCTGTGCAGGCTGATCACATGAGACAACATGCAGCTGTATGGTACTGATCCAGAGGTAGAAAAAGAAGAACCCATCATACACATTTCAGAATCTACTTGTACCATAGTTTGATTAAAGAATTAAAAGTTTTCTGGAAATATTATTTTTTCTGTTATACCAATGAGCAATTATTTGAATGTTATCACTGAAGGGTTCTACACGGTTACCACTGTCCTTAAATAACAACAATACAGTCCTTTTCAGGGTAACGTTCTTACTTCTATGAAATATTTACCCAACAATCATGTAAAGATACTTTGAAAACTTTTTTAAATATGTATAATAAAACATTTAAAGCGGAATGACATTTTCAGAATCTTGTGATTAAAATAATTGCTTTTACTTGTATCATCCCATACTATAAATCAATCATTGAAACATGAACATTATACGCGTAAGAACATCTGACTTCCAGAAATTTACCTCATGACTTCCAAAATTCCATGAAAGGAAGTCCTGACTTCCTAAAAAAAATTCCTAGTGGAAGCCCTGTACAATTACCTCCTCCTGTTTACAGGTTGGGGTAATGATGGTGAACAAGTGTGCAAAGTTTCAAAGCCATATGTCAATGGACTTTGAAAATATTTGAACTATTACAAAAACTTTAACGTAAATTCTAAGTCGAAAAAGGGGCATAATTCTGTCAAAATGCTTGATACAGTTACCTCCTCCTGTTTACAGGTTGGGGTCATGATGGTGAACAAGTGTTCAAAGTTGCAAAGCCATATGTCAATGGACTTTGAAAATATTTGAACTATTACAAAAACTATAACGTAAATTCTAAGTCGAAAAAGGGGCATAATTCTGTCAAAATGCTTGATACAGTTACCTCCTCCTGTCTACAGGTTGGGGTCATGATGGTGAACAAGTGTGCAAAGTTTCAAAGCCATATGTCAATGGACTTTGAAAATATTTGAACTATTACCAAAAACTTTAACGTAAATTCTAAGTCGAAAAAAGGGCATAATTCTGTCAAAATGCTTGATACAGTTACCTCCTCCTGTCTACAGGTTGGGTCATGATGGTGAACAAGTGTGCCAAGTTTCAAAGCCATATGTCAATGGACTTTGAAAATATTTTGAACTATTACAAAAACTTTAACATAAGTGGTTACGCCGACGCGGACACCAACGCGACGCTCGGGTGACTACAATAGCTCTACTTATTCTTATCGAATAGTCGAGCTAAAAATACCTAGGTGGAGAGTCCCTTCAATATCAAATACTAAAATTATGTTAGCAACAATACAGAGTCAGGTCTTACTACAACAGAATATTGAGGGTTGACCACAAGACTGTTGTAAGTCCTTCTTTCATTTAAGTTACTGCAGTTTTGCAGTCAACCCACCAGATGTGAAGCTGGGTCAGGCTCTATACTGGAAATAATGAGTTATCACATTCAGATCAAGGTCAGGAAAATATAAGCTAGCTTAAGGCATTAACAATCCACATAAATAACGTAAAATAAATAAAAACAAAGTCCTAAGAAATAAAATTGCGTGCTTTGAGAATATTAAACAAATTTCATACATGTTTTAAGAAATAGGTTTAATTATAACATTATCGGAAGCAATTAACAACATTTTACATTAAAAATTATTATTTTGTTTCAATTCTCGTACTTTTTAAATCTTTTTTAAGAATAAGGGTTTAATTATATAATTTACAGCATAAATCTACAAAATGCTTTCATTTTCCCAAGGAACTGAAACTTCTGTACATGCTAGAGTAGAGGTACAGTGCAAATGACTGTAGAAAAGATTTCATGATCAATCACAACAAAAGTGAACTACACCGTACAGGAATCGAACCTGGGTCGCCTGATTCACAGTCCAACGCTCCACCTATTGAGCTTACTGGACGGCTTCTATTATGTTATTTTTCTCAGTGATACAGGCTTATCAAGGGTTCATAACTACTTCAAGCACTGCAATGAACCTAAAGTACTAAAAATGAACTTAAAGTGATGAAATAAAAGTATCCGAATGAGCCTTAAGTTACTTATAAAGCCTAAAATTACTAAATGAACCTTAAGTTACTCAACAAGCCAAAAGTTCCTCAACAAGCCAACATTATAAATCTACATATGACAGTGTTTCAATATTACAAATTAATTTTAGAAAGTTTTCTATTACATCCGAAAACACAACAAGCATCATGCTAGGGAGCCAAAATTTCAAACCCATAAACTGGCAAACTTTTATTACTATTGGGCAATCCTAAGATTTTTTTTTCGTATTGTTAAAAAACACATTTATGAAAAATCACTGACTTAACAAAACCAACAAAAAAAAGTACAGAAGAATACCTAGTTTTAACATTAATAAATGCAGATCAGCCAAATTCATTAATCAACAATATACTTATATTTCACAACATTCTTTAAACAAAAGCATGGAATTCTAACATAAAAATCTGTTTTTCCCCAGCAACATCATTTCATCATTTAACTGTTTAAACATGTATGTAATATCAATGCACCTTTGTATGTACAGAATTGTACTCTGTTTTATTCTTATCTAAATTGTACAAGTTAAATGTTGCAATGTATGTACATGTACATGATAAAGCCTGTGCATGATATAACATGTATATAATACTCATATAATCTGTTCATTATTAAACAAACACATAATATTTGTACATGATATAATATGTTCATTATCTAACAAACACATGATATAATATGTTCATTGTTTAACAAAAACATGATTTACTTTGTACATGATATAATCTGTTCATTATCCAACAAACACATGATATACTTTTTACATGATATAATATGTTCATTATTTAACAAACACGATATACCATGTACATGACATAATCTGGTCATTATTTAACAAACACATGATATACTTTGTACATGATATAATGCTGTTGTCTGTTCAGCAATGTATATGTAAATGATTTAAAAAAAAAAATCATATATTTTCTGTACATGATATAATCAGTTCATAACTTAACATGTACATGATAATATCTGTTCAGAATTGTACATGGGATAATCTGCACTTGACATAATCTATTCATCATATAATCTGTACAATATCTTACCTATTTATCATTTAACATGTACATATTATCTGTGCAGCTTTGTACAAGTACATGATAAAAATATGTTCATCATATAATCTGTACATGACATTTATGTACCATATAAAAATTTCATTTAATTATTTAACATGTACTTTGAAAAATTAAAAATTCAGCATTGTACATGGCTTTAATCTTACTTGAATTTTTTCGTTTTCATTTTTAACTTTGACTTAACCGTTAATTTTTTTTCCCCATAATTTTTACATAAATTTAGCATTTTTACGACTTTTTAATCTGTATAGATTTTCTTTCCTATAATAAATCAATTTTTCCTGCAATTCATTTTGGGCCAGGGAGAAATTGTAAGGGTTTTGCCAGGGAACCAAACAACCCCATTTTTTGGCCCAGGGGGGGAATTGAAAAGGGTTTCCAGGGAACCTTTCCCAATTTCTTTGTTGCGGGATTTTGGAATTTTTGGTGCCATAAAAAAACCTTTATTATTTTCTGGGGGAAAGGAAATTTTTAAGGTGCCATGGAACCGAAATTTCAGTTGCCGGGGGGAATTAATGTTGCCTGGAACCAAAATTTCCATTTTCCAGGGGGAAGGAATTGGGTTTCCCCAGGAACCTAAAAATCATTTTTTGCAGGATTTGATTTAATTTTTGCCAAAAGAAACTGTTTTTAGTTGCTAGGGGGGGAATTTTAAGGGTTCCCTTTGGAAACCTCAATCATGTGCCAGGGGGGGAATTTTAAATTTGGTTCCCTTTGGAAAACTATATTCACATTTTCATTGGGAGCAAACTTATTTTGGATTTTTTCCTTTCGGAATGCTTTTCAATAAATTTCCAAACCTTTAACGTTTTCCGGTTGGCTGAAAAAAAATAAACACCAAAATTTTCATGACTTTAAATTTTAAAAAATTCTTTTATGAAAATGAATTTTTTAAAAAGGGCCCATTATGCTGCACAAAATGCATGTTTGTTTCTTTAAAATGTTTTTGATTTTTCATGTTGTGTTAGTTACTCCGATAATCATCTTTTGCTTCCTTTACTTTTTTGCTCTTAAACAATTACTTAAATGCTATAAAGCTCATGTTTACCTTTTCTAAGTAAGAAAAAAATATTCATTTCTGAAGCAAAATGTGCCTTTAAAGATTAAATCTGTTACAGCGGTGGTAATGAATATATTCTCCAAATATAATGAAAAACAATAAATCTTTCTATAAGGACCAATTCCATTCTCATAATTAAATGGAAGGCCAAAAACAAAATGCCTTGGCCACTTGTATTTTTACAACTTTATTTGAATTTGAATTTTTTGAATTTCATATTTGAAACTCCATTAAAATTTTATATTTAAAGGTGATTGCTTTTTAAGTAATTTCTTGACCAACAAGCAATTATCATAGTATTGCAAAAACAATCCCTAATCCCCCACCGGAAGAGCCCCAAACAAACAAATTTTGAAGGGCCCAAATTTTGGGGCCCCCCCCCTTCACTTATGTTTCCTTTTTTCTTAAGTAAAATTTTTTGAAAAAATTTTAAAAATACACAGGGAAAAGTTTTTTTTGTTTTAGGGCAGACGGACTGAAGGCCCCTCTTTTAAATGATTTTTTTAAAAACCCCCTTTTTCAAAAATAAAATTTTTTAAATCCATCAAAGATTGAAGAAGTTTGGGGTAAAAATTTCCCCAAATTTTTCAAAAAAAAAATCCCAAGTTCAAAAGGGCAAATTCTGGAAAAAAGTCTTGCTAAGTATTGAACACTCACAAATGGGTTTAGGACAATAAGAAAATTTAAAATTTAAGTTTTTAAGAATCATTCAGAAAAAAGTTTTTAAAAAAAAAAAATTTTTTTCATGAAAATTTTAAGTTCAAGGAGGTAATTCTGAAAAAATTTGTGCTAGAGTTGTAAACCTTGTCACATATGATGTGGATGATGACAAGCAACTTATATTTAAAGTTTGAAGAAAATACCTTAAGAAATAAAGAACTAATAGTGAAAAAACTTAAAAACAGAATCAGAAATCTTGAAATTCAGTCTATTTGTTGCCATAGCAACCAGAATTTTCAACATAGGAAGATAAAAAAGGATGTGCATAATTTCCATACTGCCATCTACCCATATGTCAAGTTTCATAAACATATTTTCAGTACTTTTTGTGTTATCACTGGATCCAGGTTATGTGTAAAATTTGCCATATTTTCAGTCTATTTGTTGCCATAGCAACCAGAATTTTCAACATAGGAAGAAAAGAAAAAGACGTGCATAATCTCCATACTGCCATCTATCCATATATCAAGTTTCATAAAAATATTTTCAGTACTTTTTGCGTTATCGCGGGATCCAGGTTATGTGTAAAATTTGCCATATTTTCAGTCTATTTGTTGCCATAGCAACCAGAATTTTCAACATAGGAAGAAAAGAAAAAGACGTGCATAATCTCCATACTGCCATCTATCCATATATCAAGTTTCATTAAAATATTTTCAGTACTTTTTGCGTTATCGCGGGATCCAGTTTTGTGGACGGACGGACTGACGGACGGACAGACGGACGGACTGACGGACGGACGGACGGACAGACGGACGGAGGGTAAACCTAAAGTCCCCTCCGGTAAACCGGTAGGGGACTAATTAAAAAGATACAGAGCATGTGTTTTCTAAGTATAAAGCAAATGTCATGAACGTGAATATTACCTTCTGTATAAACAGCTCTGTCAAACTGGCCTGCAGCTAGAGGCAAGGAACTGAAATAATTAATAAAAGAAACATGTTAAATTCTAAACTATTGATATTTAATACACTGGATATAAAAGCTGCTCTCCGATTGGTCAAGAGCATTTGTCTCCTTTGTCATAACTGGCCCAACTACTATTCCATTTTCGAGTCAAGTCCAATTTTCACCGTAATCAAGGTAGCCAATGAGAGGGCAGCGGGCTTGGGAATGTATTTAGGTGACAGTTAAGGTTCGGTATAATCATTCATCATACACTGTAAGAAATATTGATCAGAATACTTTCAAAATAGCCAGTTTTTTCACTTAATATTTAACCTTTTAGTCAATGTTATAGTTGAACAGCTTTTTCTAGCCTTATCGGTAAAGGAAGACCTATGGGTTAATCAATACTGCATATTTTCAGCCCTTTGAGTAAACCTCGGAAGAGATGTTTAAAACCAATAATTGTACTCGGCCATATTACCTGTCAAAATTTTCTAAACTGATTCTACAGTCAGTCTGGCCTAGGCCTGCCTATACTTCCATGTAAATGAACAGCACTTAAAACCATTGCAGATATATTTTTTTAGTGTATTCTTCAAAAATCTCTAAAATTAGAACAGTTTTTAATTCAAAGTTTGATCAGTCCATTATACAATGTACACAGCAGGGTCAAAGAATCTTAATGTTGAAATCCCTAAAATGAACAATGTAATCTTCTGAAATCATAGCAGGACCAGTTCATTTTACCAACACAGCAGGGTATAGGTTAAGGAACATTTATGTTGACATCCCTAAAATGAACAATGTACTCTTCTGGAATCAGCAGGACTAGTCCATTATACAAACACAGCATGGTATAGCAACTTTTATGCTGAAATCCCTAAGATGAACAATGTAGTCTTCTAAAATCATAGCAGGACCAGTCAATTTTTATAAAATCAGTTGAAAAAATGGGGTCAAGACTTACCAATCTCTAGCTGGTTGTATTGCTACTTCAAATATCGCATATACTGGATGGTGGTCGGATAATCTAACATTGGATGGTGAGTCATAATGTGTACATACAATAGAATTCTTCTTCTTTGCTTGAAACAAAACACGATCCTGAAAATATAAACATATTTTTTTTCTGTAAATAACAAAAGCAAAAAAAAACACATCCTACAAGTTACAAACAACATAATCTAAATATATTTCATTTAACATACCTCAAATGAGAAGAATTTTTTTAAAAATTGTGTGAACTTGAATTTTTAACATTTTTATCATTTTCCCCATTTACCTTTATTAAACCTTTTTGTGATTTTTAACATGCAAACATGTCTATGACCCATGACGGTATTGTCATTATTACAAGATTACAAGATAGATAAGCCAGTTCTGGTGTCTTCGATACAACCTGGTGTTTTGTTGGATAAATGTCAGATAATGGTGTATTCTACTTAAAGCAAGAACCTGTGTAGCATGATTAACCTTTATATAGCAAAGTTTATTTTGAGCCGTGTCACGAAAAAACCAACATAATGGGTTTGCGACCAGCATGGATCCAGACCAGCCTGCACATCCGTACAGTCTGATCAGGATCCATGCTGTTCGCTTACAGACCCTATAACAAGTAGAGAAACTGATAGCGAAACGGATGCACAGGCTGGTCTGGATCCATGCTGGTGGCAAACCCATTATGTTGGTTTTGTCATGAAGTGGCTCATTTATTTTTCTGTTTGTTGATTTTCCTGCTTTTTTACTACCAATTTGAACATATTTTTTTTTTTGCAATATCTCAGTGGTCAATTGAGCCTTCTTGAATAACTAACAAGTTATCACAAATTCTGAGCAAGCGACTGACTGTTAATAGTCTAATACCACATGACCTCTTAATCAAGGGTGAGCAACAAATGATCGTTACACTCAAGTCTCAAGAAAAATTGCACAGAGAAATAACAACTTGTCAAGGATCAAACCAGCATAGTCTAATGCTCTCCGTAATAAGCTAACTAGGTGAACTACAGCAAAGTTTTAAATATTGAGACTTAATTCTTAAAAAACTTAAAACTTACGGTATATGATGGAATTCTATTTTTAGATGATGTATCGAATGTATCATGCCCTATATCATATTTATATGTAGGTCGGAAGTTAATCCTGCCTTCCTGAAAACCTTGAAATATGCTTCCTGAAAACATATATACATGTATAAATTAAACTGTTGTTTCAGAAACTGTAAAGATATCTATCATAAAAGCAAAGTAAATGTTACATTTAATGTAACAGTAAAGTATACTGGTTTGGGAGATAAACTCGGCCGAAAATCGGTGTTATTGGGGCATATTTCATTTATTTGTTTACGTATTCTGATGAATCTTACACCATTATAAACTTCAGCTCTTCGATATTCTGGTATCACCATAAAAGTTATATTTAGAAACAAGACGGGTAATTTTGAGAGGCCTTGAAAGAGGTACATAAAAAGCACATTTTTAACACGCGCGAGTAGATATTTTCGGCTCTTTGTTTTTCTTCTTAAATCATTTTTAATAAGTAAATTAAAACGTAGAATAACATGTTTAGACATTTTATTATTCCTTTGCTATTCATATATGTCAAATAAAAAAATATTTTTTATCAGAAATTTTCAATAAGGACTGTTAATTTTATACCATGTTATGTAAAAAAAAAACAACAAAAAACTCGGATACTTTTTTGTAAAACGACATGCAGTTTCATTTATTAACATACGAAACATGTAGTTTTAGAATTAGTGATTCAAATGTATTTTGGCTTGGGTAACTTCGTAATTTAACAGTCTCAGTGAAGAAGAAATTAAATTAGTGGTATTCAACCGACACAATAACATATCAAGGAGCATTTAACATCAGTTTTTCAATCCATTGCACTAAAAGGTTACATTTGTGATTTTTTGTGCAATCGGACTTTTTCTGAGTTCGCAAGACAAAATTGAGTCTAAATTCATCTACAAAATGTATCCGTGAACATCGTCTGCTTTACCGGTAGTCGGTCAATATATAAAAGTAACCCTTTACGGGCCTCAAAATGAGCATCTACTGCGCATGCGTACAACAATCGGATTTCCCATACTATTTATATGCATGTTTTTTTTAAACAAACGGGTAAATGTCTGTGCTATTTTTTAAATATCTTACCAAACTTGACAAAATTTCCAGATATTGTCGAATTCCAGCGTTCGTACGAGATGGTGAGCTTGATTACATTAAAAAAGCCGATAAGTCGATTAAATTATAAAAAGCCGAGTTTATCAACCAGCCGAAGTTATCTCCCCAACCAGTACATATTTATATTTATAACAGTAACATACATTTATTATAACAGAAAAGTCAAGACATTTATCAAAACAGAAAGGTAAACCAGTGAAGTAAAGAATTTATTATAACAGCAAAGTAAATACATGTAATATAACAGTAAAGTAAGGTAAAGACATTTTTATAATAGCAAAGAAGTCTTTCATTTTATAATATAACAGCAAAATAAAGGTCTTAAAATTAGGAAAGTAGAAATATTTATTATAACAGCAAAGTTAATACATTTAATATAACAGTAAAGTAAAATAAAGACATTTTTATAATAGCAAAGTAGTCTTTTATTTTATAATATAACAGCAAAGTAAAGGCATTTATATTAGGAAAGTAAAAATATTTATTATAATAGCAAAGTTTGTTTGTTTGTTTCGTTTTACGCCTTTTTCCAACAGTATTTCAGTCATATAGGCGGGTAGTTTCCTAACCATCACTCCTGGAGAGTTACACCAGTACTAGACTACCTTCCTCCTTGCTAAACTACCAAAGCATCTCCCGGGGATAGAACCCACGCCAGAGAGGTAACTGGATTAGAAGTCATCGACTCTTAGAACCCCTCGACCACAGAGGCGGTCTAATAGCAAAGTAAAGGCATTCATAATAATAGCAAAGTAAAGACATTCATAATAATAGCAAAGTAGAGACATTTATGTAACAGCATAGGCGTTTAGAGTTTGTAATAAGTTCAAGTATCTGGTTTCAAGCATTAATTTTTCTTTCTTATAATTCTAAGCCAGTTCCCAATAAGGGAGATGACATTTAAGCTTACCTTCTACAATAAGTTTAGACAGTTGGTCCCCGGCTAGAAGGTCTTCATAATTTGTATGCTCTTGCTGTTCAATGTATTTGACAATGTCCTCGATAGCTTGCTTGCCTTTGTAAGCCTCGATACGGAAGTTTAGATCTCCCATCCAGAACACACTGTCAAATCGGGTTGTAACATCTATATGGATGAAAAAAATGTTTTATTTAATTATTTGAATTTTCATATGTACGAGAAATGTAGCAAGTGCTACATAAAGATGAGCATTTCTTTACAGGTACCGTTATGTATCACATTATGTGGAAAAAAAAGAAAGTAAAAAAGGAATTATTAAAATCACATAATACTCAAGTCACTTGTTTTTGTGTGTGAAATATGGAAATCCCCATAATTCTGACAAGAGCATGCTATCTGACAGAGTCACAAAAATAACCGATACCTTAACTGTAACTTCATATGAAACCATTCAAAATCTCTTGCTTGATTTGAACTCGCAGTGAAAAGAGACGGGTATAAATAATTATCACATACCCGTGCCACTTTTTGGAATCAGTAAAAATGGTATTGCACGGCCGTGCATATATTTTGACGTGACATCATTAATTTTGTTTTATACAAACATAAGAGTGATGACATGTTAAATGTTAGCATTGAACAATTACTATATAGGCGTGTCAATAAAAAATTTGTTCTTTTTCACTTCAAACGGTATTTATTTTTGGTATGTGATAAATAGAATATTAAAGTGGTGTAAGATTATTACTGAATTTATTGAACTTGTTGCAGAAAATAAAATACACAGTTTTATTCAACTCCATTAATAAATTCAGTATTGACCTGACACTCATTTCTTTTACACTTTGATCTACAGACATATGGTGTTTAAGCACCCTCACTTAAATTGTGGGGGGAGGAAATTGTGGAATTTTAGAGAACTTTGAGAAATTCTTAACATTTGCAAAAGCTACCTTTAACATACTTAATAAATTAAGAGAAAAAAACAAAACAACAAAGTTATTATGAATTTTGAATAGGGCGTTAGATATGGGTATCTGGTGATAGGGTAAAAATGCTTAAAGATAATAAACTACCTAATAGACCACATTATCTTTCAGATTAGCTACACTACTTAGTGCTGCTCCATATTTGTCTTGAGAGATTCAACTAAAATATCTTCCGACACAAAATTAAACCAGTCTACACGACTTCTTATAATACTGCACCCCTGTAACCTCACTTATCATTGGATAATTGTGTTTAGTTTTATATACAATGTACAAGTCTGCTGTTGATTTATGAAGAAATCTTTCTTTTTCTCTAAAAAAAATGATGCTTGCTGTATTATAAATTTGTTATAAATATTTCTGACAGATTAAATGGCCGTATAATTAACGGTTGTTTGCAATGTAACCCTTGCCGCATATTTAAAACTAGAGGATGCTTTTGTAAAAAAGCGCATGTCTCCCCCACTGCTGAGAATAACTGTGAATGGAAACAGGAATGGAAATGGAGATAAGATAATGTAAATACCCGGTAGTCACTTCAATGAAGGCTGTCTATGGATGGTTTCTATTGTTAAGGTTGTATGAGAAGATGCTTCCTAAACTGTTTGTTTTTAACCAGGTATTCAATTTTGAAAATCCTGGTTATTCAATCAGCGAATGGCAGGCGGGCGTCAAACGAAATTGCACTTGATGGTCATATCATATATAGTTTCACAAATGAAATTAAATGAAATTGTGTCTGCTCCATAATTCTTCAAACCTTTAAAGGATTTTGATGATACTTGAAACAAACGTTTGACCTACTGACCCCAAAAACAATAGGGATCATCAGCTCTATAAGACCAATCATCCTATGAAGTTTGAGGGCTGTAGGTCAAAAGGAACTCTAGTTATCATCCGGAAACGAGAAATTGACCAACGGTCACTGTGACCTTGACCTTTGAACTACTGACCCCAAAAACAATAGGGATCATCTGCTCAATAAGACCATTCATCCTATGAAGTTTGAGAGCTGTAGGTCAAAAGGAACTCTAGTTATCGTCCGGAAACGAAGAATGGACGGACGGACTGACGGACGGACGGAGAGGGCAAAAACAATATGTCTCCCCCCAGTTTGAGGGTTGTAGGTCAAAAGGAACTCTAGTTATCATCCGGAAATGAGAAATTGACCAACGGTCACTGTGACCTTGACCTTTGACCTACTGACCCCAAAAACAATAGGGATCATCTGCTCTATAAGACCAATCATCCTATGAAGTTTGAGGGCTGTAGGTCAAAAGGAACTCTAGTTATCATCCGGAAACGAGAAATTGACCAACGGTCACTGTGACCTTGACCTTTGAACTACTGACCCCAAAAACAATAGGGATCATCTGCTCAATAAGACCAATCATCCTATGAAGTTTGAGGTCTGTAGGTCTAAAGGAACTCTAGTTATCATCCGGAAACGAGAAATTGACCAACGGTCAGTGTGACCTTGACCTTTGACCTACTGACCCCAAAAACAATAGGGATCATCAGCTCTATAAGACCAATCATCCTATGAAGTTTGAGGGCTGTAGGTCAAAAGGAACTCTAGTTATCGTCCGGAAACGAAGAATGGACGGACGGACGGACTGACGGACGGACGGACTGACGGACGGACGGACAGGGCAAAAACAATATGTCTCCCCCAGAGGTGGGGGAGACATAATAAAAAGGTTTGAAAATTATATAGGGCCATATGATCTGTCAAAGATCTTTATAAATTATAATAAATAAAGGAATCTCACCTGCTGAGCTGCCGTTGGGCGAGCCTGTATTGCCCTGTTTAGGTAAGTTTAAATTCTTGGTAATTTTTGTAAAATCATCTAGCCTCTCTCTCTTCTTACCATCACCAGCTGAAAATAAAACAAAATCACATACATGAATAGAGGATATTGAATGAGAGGAAGTTTATTACTTAATTTATTGAACGAGTTAGATTAAATTATTTTATGTGAGCTTCTGGCAAGCATAATATATTTTTATTCAACACGTTCAATGAATTTAGTACAGAAGCTACATAAATATGATATTCTACTTACTGCATATCCAAAATATATACTGTTTTAAGAAGAAAAAGAATTACATTTTCATTAAACAAATCACATGCAATCAAAGAAACCCTCCAATACCACCCCCAAGTAAGTAGTTAGTTAATACAATTACGATAGATATTGATTTAGTAGTATAACAAGCAAGAAAGCTTTTATCATTTTACCCCTATGCATTAAATTTTCGATATATGCATTTTATTATTTACATAGTGTGCATGTAATCTATTTAATTCTATGACTTTTATACATAGCTTTTAAAATGTTGTTTTTAAACTAAACTATTAAATTTTAAGACTTTTATACATTTTTTTTTTTTTACAGTTTTTTAAATTCAGTCAAGTAGCAACAAAATGAATTCATTTTGACATTTCGTGTTGTACTTTCTAAATAAGTCAGAATTAAAGATCAGTTACTGGTCAATGACATTATAATAGTTAGAGGCTTATTTCAAGGCCGACTAACTTTTAAATTAATTTTGACGGTAACAAAATAGTGGCCTATCTTCACAACTGACTTATAATTGAAATTTTAGGATATCACATACTGGAAAAAGAAAGCAGAAATTAACAAGAGTTGTCACAGGAGACATCGAAGCTCGACTAATAAAATACGGGACGCAGTAAGAAGACAAAACTATGAAAGAAAAATCAATTATGAATAATTATGTACTAAGTTATAGTAAGAAAATATTTGTTAACATAAATTCCAAGTTCAAGGGGGAATTCTTCTGGGAATAGTCACGCTAGAGTTATGAACCTTGTCATGCAACATGTGTACACGTAATGATAAGAAATATATATTTGTAGTTTGATATAGATACCTTAAAAAGTAAAGAAGTTATAATATTTCTTAAAGAAAATCCAAAGTTCAAAGAGAGATAAATTTGAAAATATTGCTTCAAGAGTTATGAACCTTGTCACATAAGATGTAATTGATGATAAGGAATAAATTGAAGTAGATACCTTTAAAACTAAAGAAGTTATAGTAAAAAAAAACATTTTTCAAGTAAAAAAAATCTAAGTTTATGGGGAGATAATTCTTTAGTAGTTAATGATAACTTATAGGAATATATATTTGAAGTATGAAGTTGATCCCTTAAGAAATAAATAAGAACAAAAAATTATATTTTTTAAGGAAAATTCTAAGTTCAAGGGGAGATAAATCTGAAAATATTGGGGCTAGAGTTATGAACCTAGTCACATAAGATGTGGTTGATGATAAGGAACATATATTTGAAGTTTGAAGTTGATACCTTAAGAAATGACAAAGTTATAGTGAAAAATATTTTACTGCACCAAAACTTTAATCTGAAATCTGGAAGCGGATGACAGCTCTCCATATACTTATATAGTCGACCTAAAAATAACATGAAATAAGTAGACAAGACAAGACTTACGTGCAAAATGACAATTGATGAAGATGAATGAAGTTCCGAAGAACTGAAAGCTGATTGCTATAGCACCTTTTGTTTTTACCATGGTTACCGCCCTCGTCTGTACAAGGTCATCCTCTGGCACTGTAATAAATAACAGTTTAGTTTATACAGAATATATTTCATTTCCATTATTTAGGGGCACTACAAGATTATAAACATTTATTAATACTTTCATATTCATTCCTGAAACCAACTTGTTCTAAGCATTGAGTGTAAAGGTTTTCTTACTCAAGGAAACAACAACTTGCCAATGACAGAGTTTAAACCCACACAGCCACTTACTTAGTCCCATGTGTAAACTACAGAAGGCTGCTTGCTGTAATACCACTGTAAACAGTGTATGGTTTGATAACAATGCATTTTGTCCCTTAAACACAAAACTTTAACACTATGTTAAACTAAATTGCTTCCTTAGCGCCACCTATAAAATCATTCTGCCTTCAACCCCTCAACCACCCCCACATCACCCCCATCATCATACTGTAATCGGCAAAAATCTTACTTGTACAAAACCAGATCAGATCTCTCTTAACAAACACGGCTAGATGTAACGCCCCATGAGCCGCTGAATGAAACAACACATGTGACGGTCCTATAGTCTCTTGTAACAATATCTCCCATTCTTTCCTGCAAAAAAATTAATTGAAAAATTAATTGAAAAATTCAATGAAAAATCAATGAAAAATTCATTGAAAAATCATTGAAAAATTATTGAAAAATAAAAATCAATGAAAAATTATTGAAAAATCAAAGAAAATAATTGAAAAATCAAAAATCAATGAAAAATCAATAAAAATTAATTGAAAAATTCAATGAAAAATCAATGAAAAATTCAATGAAAAATTCATTGAAAAATCATTGAAAAATTATTGAAAAATAAAAATCAATGAAAAATTATAGAAAAATCAAAGAAAATAATTGAAAAATCAAAAATCAATGAAAAATCAATAAAAACTAATTGAAAAAATCAATGAAAAATCAATGAAGAATTCATTGAAAAATCATTGAAAAATAAAAAATCAATGAAAAATCAATGAAAAATTATTGAAAAATCAAAGACAAATAATTGAAAAGTTAAATTTAGACTTGACTCATATGAACAAGAACATAGCATTTCTGGTGTCTCACTTCTACTATCTTTAAACTGATAGCCCTTTATTTTTTATTTGTCTTCTTGCTTTATCAAATTATATTATTTCTTTACTGTACTCTCAAAAACAGGAAAACATTAATTACAAGTAATTTTGAAACAGAACTTCAAAATAACATCTAGATAATGGCAAAATTTGCCTGAAATAATTACACTTGTACCAAAAAGTAATACTTACTTGTTCATTGCATTTTCCTGAGTTCCTATGGCGTAGATATCCTGGACATACTCGCTGACTTCAGGCAATAGAAAGTCGTCCAATGGCTCCCTGCAGTCCTACACATAAAATAATACATTAACTCATAATCTCCCTGCAGTCCTACACATGAAATAATTCATTAACTCATAATCTCCCTGCAGTCCTACACATAAAATATTTCATTAACTCATAATATTCCTGCAGTCCTACACATAAAATAATTTATCAACTCATAATCTCCCTGATATCCTACACATAAAATAATTTATTAACTCATAATCTCCCTGCAGTCCTACACATAAAATAATTTATTAACTCATAATCTTTCTGCAGTCCTACACATAAAATAATTTATTAACTCATAATTATACACTTTAACTAGAAATGTGTGGGCATGCCACAGATGCCCCATACGCAGCCAAAATTTCAAATGTTATAATAATTTTGAGTTCCAAATTTGTTTGCACAAACTATTTTTTTTCCATTCTAAGTTCAAAGCACTTAAACTATTAAATGTTAATAAACACAAACAATTTTTTATACAAAGTTCAAGGCCATGAAAATATTCAGTGTTAATCTTTTTCAAATTTGATATTGCATATTTGTAGCTGAGATAATGACTACATACATTTCCACAAAAATAAGAGTGTGGAAACTAAAAATTTCAAATTTTTTCCATCGTTCAAGAGAGATAACTTGTCCAAAATCATCGAACCATTCCATCAACGACAGCCCTACTGAATAGCACTCACTGTACATCAGCCCCTGAGTTATCACTCATTGAACATCAGCCCTTGAATATCACTTATTGTACATCACCCTGGACTGTATATCAATCATTCTACTACATCACCCACAGAATATCACTCATTGTACATCACCAACAGAATGTCGCTCACTGTAGATCACCTAGTGGGTGATCAACAGTGAGCGACATTCTGTTGGTGATGTTAAGTGGGCCACTTAATATCACTCATTGTACATCACCCACTGAATATCACTCACTGTACATCACCCACAGAATATCACTCATTGCATAAAACCCACTGAATATCACTCTTTGTACATCTGACCCCCTGAATATCACTCATTGTACATCACCCACTGAATATCACTCATTGTATATCAGCCACTAAATATCACTCATTCTACTTCAATCCATGAATATCACTCAATGTACATTACCCACAGAATATCACTCATTGTACACCACTCACTGAATATCACTCATTACACATCACCCACTGAATATCACTCATTGCATAAAACCCACTGAATATCACTCATTGTACATCACCCACTGAATATCACTCATTGTACATCACCCACAGAATATCACTCATTGCATAAAACCCACTGAATATCATTCATTGTACATCACCCACTGAATATCACTCATTGTACATCAGCCCCTGTATATCACTCATTCTACATTAGCCACTGACTATCACTCATTGTACATCAGCCACTGAATATCACTCTCTGTACATCAGCAAATGACTATCACTCATTGTACATCACCCACTGAATATCACTCTTTGTACATCAGCCCCTGTATATCACTCATTCTACATTAGCCACTGACTATCACTCATTGTACATCAGCCACTGAATATCACTCTCTGTACATCAGCAAATGACTATCACTCATTGTACATCACCAACTGAATATCACTCATTGTATATCACCTACCAAATATCACTCATTGTACATCACCCACTACGTATCACCCATTGAATATCACTCATTGAACATTACCCACTCAATATCACTCATTGTACATCACCCACTGAATATCACTCAATGTACATCACCCACTGAATATCACTCATTGTACATCACCCACTACGTATCACCCATTGAACATCACTCATTGAACATTACCCACTCAATATCACTCCTTGTACATCATCCACTGAATATCACTCATTGTACATCACCCACTGAATATCCCTCATTGTACATCACCCACTGAATATCACTCATTTTAAATCACCCTATGAATATCACTCATTGTATATCACCCACAGAATATCACTCATTGCATAAAACCCACTGAATATCACTCATTCTAAATCACAAACTGCATATCAACTGGTGTATATCATTCACTGTTAATCATAATACAGTTTTTTCAGAACTTTCACTCACTGCTCACAACTCACTGTTTTATCACACTGTATTTCATCCAATGAATATCTGACATTCACTGTTTATTGTCTATTGTTCATCATAAATACCAATCACAACTCACTGTTATAAACCGGTGTAAGCCTATACCAGGTATATAACATTGTATTTCATCTAATATATCATTCACTATTTTTATAATTTACCACTGTTTATCACTACTATCACTAAGTGTATACAACTCAGTTTCAAAAATAAGTCTCAAATTTTCATTGTATTTTCAACATATAATAAGTAAGTTATAACAGAAAGTGTTGAATCAGCATAACAGAAAGTGAGATCATCAGAATAGGTGAGTTTTGTAAACATAATACATAACATACTGATAAGCCATGCCAGTCTAAACAAGCTAAATTTCCTGACTATGATGGGAACAAGCCTCAAAGATATACAATATCCCTCAACCTGCATCCTCGATTTGCCCAGGTTTGAATTTGGAACAGTTCATTCAAAGTAAAAGGGAAACAGCAAAGTCCGATCCTAGCATTATTTGAGGCATGTTCGGGCCCCCTGAGTACAATAAATAACCTGGGATAAGTTTTGGTTCTTCTTGGATACTTGAAGCTACTTCACATGTACTGAGGTTTTCTTATTAAGCAAGTTAAATGTCAAGATAAATGGATAATTAACCCGCAGTCTGCTGGAACCTGAGTGTGATCCTTCACTGTCACCATAATACAGTCCTGCGGTGTCCGCGCAGTCTGACCAGGCTCTATACTGTTGACAGCTCAAGTTTTATATTAAGATTTTTAAATTCATTAAAATTTGAATAAACTTATAATAATCATGTATTCCAAATTCAAAGATGAGTCAATGTTTTAAGCAGGTAAAAGGTTAACGGCAAGATAAATAAATCAAAGTGGATATCAATAAAGCAGGCTTTAACATCGGTGGCAAAGTAAGGGAGGTAATTTATGTAATACATTACATATATTTAACAAACATACATATATTTAACAAACTGGTCAAGTGACAAAATGTGAACAAAAGGATTATGGTCATAATTGAGCCCCGCCATCACAAAACCAACATAATGCGTTTGCGACCAGCATGGATCCAGACCAGCCTGAGCCATCTGCAGTGTCTAATCAGGATCCATGCTGTTCGCTTTCAGTTTCTCTACTTGTTATAGGGTTAATAAGCGAACAGCATGGATCCTGATCAGACTGCATGGATGAGCAGGCTGGTCTGGATCCATGCTTGTCTAAAACCCATTACGTTGGTTTTGTCATGATGCGGCTCAATTATATTAACATACTGGTCAAGTGGTATACTATGAACATAAAGTGTGATAAAATTTGTTTTATAATCACAGAAATTCTGAACTTAAAGCTTTTGAACTGGGGGTATGCCACAATAACACAGTTAAATATACAGTAAACTCCACACTATACAGATATTCACATGACATTAAAGACGATACATCCAAATATTGTCATTATCTATTTTTCTGTACTGACAAAAGTTTTAATCATAACAAAATAATCAGGTATAGTTGAATAATGAACGGGGTGTATCAAAAGTTAAGGACTGTCTTCATTATATAATGCAAAATTAGAAAATGATGAACTTGGTACACAAACATCATTCTGTGAACGCATGTTCCCTATTAAGCCCAGACATCATTGCTAATTATTATCATCATATTTTGAACAAATCGTTAGAATAAAAATTTAATGTAGCGCACCAAAGATTGGCTTTAGAAATTTTTGACATAATTTTTTGAAAACATTTTAAGTTTATGGTTTGGTTTAATCATGAAAATGGGATAAATTTTTGTTTTAGAGTCCGAGAGGGAACATTTAGGGAAACAGAAATGATTTTTTAAAGTTTAATCAAGTACTTATGCCAATCTTTGGTATGCTACATTATTTTTTGATATTCTAACAATTTCTTAGAATAAAAACATATTTTATCTTGGAGTCGATGGGATATTTACAAAAAAAAACACAGTCTAATTCAGAGCGTTTTGCAGGAACATGATGACGTAGTATCCTACCATTGAAACATATCAACCAGCAAACTTATCACTTGAACCAACTTAAGTGGCAAATGAATCTACAGATGCAACCAGTGCAGGTCGAGCATTATCTGGCTGTCTGATCCTGGTCTGCACAGCTGTTTGCTATCCAGTCAAATTGTTTTTGCGAAATTTTACTTACAAATAAATGGTTTTATTCAGATTATAAGATGGACAAGCCTATTAAGATAATTAGTGTTGTTAAGGTTAAGTGATTAAATAATCGTATGCATTGATACACATGAAATATTGGTCAAATCATATCTGTAACGTCCCTTATAATTGGATAATTGTGACCTTTAAATAATGTATAAACACAGCTTCTGTCAATTTATGGAGTAATTTTGGTTTTTCCTGCTAAGCTTACAATCATTTAAACTGAGCCATATACTAATAACCCTGTCAGGCATTTTTATAACTTATTTTTTAATTTGAATCTTGCAGGGACGAAACCATTGTTGGATACCCACAGTTGATTAACATGTACTCAATGTGAATGGTTCAACTGTGGGTATCTGACAATGGAACAAAACCAGAATGATGTATCCAAATAAGCAGTACACTACAAGGATTATAAGTATAACTGGGAGTTTACTGTATTTCTACCTTCTTTATCTGTATATAATAAAATAAAAATAGAATTCAAGTATGAATACATGTCATACAGCCATGTTTCTCTCTTTTTTTTCATATTCTGTTCAACTGTTCTCCTTTTATCACACAACTGTGTCACTTTTTTGACTCCGTAAAAATGGTATTGCACAGCCCGGCATTTATTTTGACGTGACATTATTTGCGTCATATGAACATAGTATTAAAACGCACAAAATGTTAGCATTTTACTATAGATGTGTCAATGAAAACTGGTTCTTTTTCACTACAAACAACTTTATTTTTGGTATGTGATGAATAGTATATTAAATTAATTACTGAATTTATTGAACTCAAATAAAATAATATTATAATCGCCAATGCTATGCATTATTTCAGACACCTGCATGCCATCGATTAGAACCCTAAACCGTAATAATATAAAATTTAAGCAAAATATACTCAAGAGTTAAAAAATAAATAATCATCAGTAATCAAGATATTGCTTTAAATGTGATCTAGGTAGATCCACTCACACATATATTACTCTAAAAATTTAATTTTCAACTCT